ATCCAGGTCTAGCTAGGGCTGCAAGTCGGGCCGAGTTAGGTCGGGTTGAGACCAACCCTAAGTTCTAAACCCCAATTCTAACCCTAACTCAATCCGACCAACCCAACTCTAACCCTAATCCTAATTAAGTTCCTTCAACCCTAACTCAATCTGAAGTCAATTTTGGGTTGGGCTTTCCATTCCTTAAAACCTCATAGAATTTCTTAATTTTAGATCTTAACTCAACTTTTATTACATATATTAATTCTATGTTTCATTAGTATTTCTTTGTTGACGGTTTTTTTTTTGTTCTTTTGGTACAAAAGTCAGAAAAACAAGTGTTAGAAATGACTATTTATTATGATTTATGAGTTATGACTTATGATAAATCTTTCTTGGGCAACAAACAACATAGAGGAGATGAAGAATAAAATTTTCAAAAAAACATAAAATAATGTTATTAAGGTTTTAGTCTTTCTGATTAGGATTAAGTGAAGTGATTATCTTAAAAGAAATACATGAAACTATGTGGTGAGGGCTATGCAAATATCATACATCTAAACAAATCAATGTATGTTATATATTATATATAACATATATTTATATATGTCATGTACTATAGAGTCAGGTTCAGGTTTGTTTGGATTGGCTAAGGGGTCAACCCTAACCCAACCCGAAATAAAATCGGGTTCATGAATTTCAACCTTAACCCTAACCCGAATGTCAACCCGACTCGACCTTTTCGGGTTGGGTTCGGGCCAACCTGGCCCAAGTTGCAGCCTTAGGTCTAGCAAAGCACACTGGTTTTTGGTTGTTACCAAATATATAAAGAGGAAAGCAGAAAAGCAGAAAAGCAGAAAAGCAGGAAGTTATATTTGATGTTGTTTGGCTTCGTTGCTGTTTTACGAGAAAATGGCATCACATCAGAGCCACCTCAGTTACCATACTTGAAAACGTTTTAAGAAAGAAAAAGCATAATTTCAAAATGATGTTTTCCAAGGTGGGCCGGTTTTTATGAAAATGGCAATGTATTATATTTGCTATTTTATTCTTTGAAAAAAAAAGGCTAATCAAACAGCATATAACGGTGCTTTTTTTGAGAAAATGGCTAACCAAACAATATATACTGATGCAGTTTTGAAAATACCCGACGTAGTACTTAGGTGGGAGTTCTGCTTCAGTCGGGGCAAATTCTGTTCGGGTAATCTTTACTGTCTTGCATTGAGAATATCTCCATACTTATATGCTTTATTTCATGGAGAGATATTCCTAATACAAATTAAAAAAAACTGTTAGAATGGTGTGGACATGAATTTGCCCTGACTGAAGCCGATTTCTGTACGTGGTGCCATTTTTTCAACAGAACCAAACACCACCTTTATATAAACAAATCTTCCACTGTCACATGTTTCAACAAAGGCAAGTAGACAGGGCCCATAAGATTGCTCTGGGCCGATATCAGCCATGCAGGTGATTTCCCCGGCCAATCAATAGGTCGTGGCTGTTGGATGCAAAGGAAGGATGTGGTTTGTTTCCTAGCATTTGCACTCAGGGAGGGCAGTGGCAACTTTATAAAGAAACCGAATCTTGGCCTCTCAGGCTCTGCTGGACTATACGGGGTCATTCATGCTTTTTTTTTTAACCGAAACGTTAGTACTGGTTTTTGAAAAACCGGTAATCAGAACCAAATCGAAACCAGTCGGTTAACCGGTGATCAGTTTGGTTAACTGTCAGTTCAATTCGTTGGTTTTTCGATTTTTTGGTTTTTATAATATATTATAAAAATATATATAAATACATAATAAAAAATTATAAGTATGTATAAAATATTATATTTTAAATAATAAATAATATATAATATATTATAAATATATATTTATATAATGCATATTTATTAATTTATAATATATATAATATATAAAAAATATATATAATATACATAAATATATAGAAAATATATAGAAAAACATGTATACCAATTGACTCGGTTAACCGCCGATTTTTTATATTGGTTAACCGAAACTGAACCGACCGGTTCGGTCAACCGATTTTTCAATAGTATTCAAAAATTCGATTTTGAATTTGAGATTTGACATAATCGAATCGAATTTAGATAATCTAAATATATAATTGGTCGAATTTAGATATTAGCTAATTTGATTTGATAAATATCCGAATTCAACGGATTATTTAATTCTTATATAAAATATAAATGAATTCAACGGATTATTTAATTTAGATATTAGCTAATTTGTATATTTATTAATTACCTAAAATAATTAATTGGTCAAATTCAAATTTAAATATTAATTTTCAATATCCGTTAGATATCGGATTTGAATTCAGATATTGCTTGATTCATTTCGAATTCAAGCTGTTTATAACCCTATACTGCAAGGATGGAGTCTCAGTCTCCCAAAATGAAGCATATGCTTCTATATTCAATTCATCAAGATGCCGGACACAATGCTAAAATTGAAATAGACTAGGCATGGATGGTAGGGGTGATCATTTCAGCCCAGCCCGGCCCAGAAATTCTGGGCTTGGGCCTAGGTTTTGTGTTTAGGCCCAGCCCGGACCCCGACCCACATTAGGCTCGCAAATTTTAGGGTCGGGCTTGGGCTTAATACTTTAAGCCCAACCTGCATATATTTAAACTTGCACATTTTGTGTATAATGTATACATGTTATTTTACATTAGATTATATATTTTATATATAAATATTATAGCATGACATGTATAATTTAGATTATATGTAATATTTTATATTACATAGTGTATAAAATAATGTTATATGCATGTTATGTCATTTAATATAAAATATTATAGATATGTAATGTTCTATGTATAGAAGATATTGGCCCAAAATCAGGCCCGGCCTGAGTGGATCTGGGCTAGGGCTTATGCTTCAAGCTCGAAACCCCGGGCCAGGCCGGGCCCGGGCCTAAGCTATAGCACTTATCATAAGTGCAAAGCCCGGCCTGACCTGGCCTATGATCACCCCTAGTGGCTGGCCTAGCCACCAGGATCAAATGCTAGCCCATCCTGGCTTGCTTGATTCTTGCCCAAGGCCCAGGCTGGGCCAGCCAGGTGATATTGTAGGCATTTTTTTTTTGGGGGGGGGGGACGTCTACTGTTTGGCTAGTCATTTTTTGTGTTTTCTCATTTTTTCCTAATGTTGCTAGCAATTGACATGGCACTGAAAAACGCCTATGTGATAGCAACAACAATAGTACCAAATAAAAAATCTGAGAAAATGTTTTTTGAGAAAACAACATACTTATACACTGTTTTATGAGAAAACGTTTCTTAAAAAAGGGCATTGATTCCAAACACTGCCATAGAGACCGATGATGTCCTGTCTATTTAGACAGAGAACTAATGCCATTGCAGCCTTGCCAAGAAACAAGTCAGTTTCAACCAACGGACCCTCATCTCATCTAATTTGGATCGAATTGCTACCATTTTCATTGGGCACTAAAACGGGCATTATTTGTTCCTATCATGTTCTATTAATTTTCACATTTAAACTCTAACCCTAAACCTTAAACCCTAAAAATTAAACCATTAAACCTTATATCAAAAGAAAGACTAAACCACTAATATCTAATCCTAAACCCTAAAATTGACATGATTTAAAATCATGTGGTTGGACGCATATGCTCAAACAGGTAAGAGCCAAATATCCCCCAACTAAAACACCCTCGTGATAGCCCGTAAGGTTCACATTGAACTCTTCTCTTACTTTTAAACTGACCTTAGCCAATTAGACGTGACTGATTTGCATACTAAATGGATGTCAAGTAATGAAAACTTTAGAGTTTTTGCATTGGAAAAAATTGGAATATTCAGAAATGTAATTTTTTTGATAGGCGAATTGCTACTTTTCTTATTGACTACAACGTAAAAGAACTGAAATTTCAGGAGAAAAAAATCATGATTCTAACAAAAAAATAGGAAAAAGAAAGAAAATTATGTACATTCAAATTGCATGAGTATTGGGTAATACTCCTTTTCTGTGTAGTGTAGTTGTACTTAGGGCACTAATTGAACTCTTAATGAATTGGGTCAACTTAATCTCTCTATAACTCTTAATAAGTATGTGCTGTTAATACCCTAGAAGTTTTTGTAGCAAGAAATATGATGTTCTCAACTGATCAATGACATTCATAAACTTGTACTGATCATCACCCATTTCTAAAGGGGAGGGGGGATACAGAATATGGAATTTCATCTCCCTCAGCATTTGGTTTCAGGTTTTACAACAAAGAAATGAACTACACAACCACTTTGATCATTTTAGGATATGGAATTAAATCCTCCTATCTTCCTCCTTTTATCTCCTGGGCAAAGAAAGTTTCATTAAAATCGCCAAGGCTTTCTTTACTTTGAGTTTTTCAAATGTGCTCTGCTCTTGGTGATTAGACAAAGAGTGTGAATCACATGCTTCCACCCATGTAAGTTGTAACGGACTATCTACCTGCAAATTACCATTGAAAACCCTGAAAACGACGCCTGCCTCATCAGCGGTCCTTGCATGAGAGAAAGGTTCCAACTTCCGAGACTTCGTTATCCACCAGAGTTCAATTTTGAAGCTACACCACACTTCCTCCTCGCTTTATCTCTTTCCCTTAATTTTGGAACTTTTTGTTAACTCTTCCACATTTTCCAGTGGCTGTGGAAGCGTTGTTCTCAATCCGAAGATAGGGGGATGCTGGTGCGACGAGCATCAAATTTGCGTCATGGCCAATAATCGCTACAGGAAGAATGGTTTGGTTGATACACGTGGATTTTTATCTTCTTTTGTGGTGGTTGTGTTTGGGTTACTGTGACGCGCATCAGATGTCTGCTATGAAGATATGAATATGCTTTTTAAAATATTAATGTTATTCTATTTTTGCATGGTTGTGATTTGTGAAACAAGTTGAGATATGCAAAAAAAAAAAATAATAATTAAATAAAAATACAGATTAAAGAAGGGTAGGAATGTATACGTGTACATAAATCCAGTTATGATCAGACGAGGCTCAGTTTTATACGACACAAACCACATTTCTCTTGTGCGACTTCCTGTGCAGCTTAGCTCGTCGCTTGGAGACCTAGCCTTGATCCTTCTACAGGGCGTCAGTAGTCCCCCAGACATCAAGCGAGGTACCCAGGTAACCCTCGAGTAGAATTGACAACCACAACTCATTTTTTCATAAATTTGTTTAGATAAAACAGGGGTTCTATCTTCGCTGTTCTAAAACCTGCTTCATTACTCATTCTCTAATTAAATTTTGTTTGAGAAATGATGGGTCGTCGGTGAAGTTGGTTAAGGTGCTGTGTCGATGGGAGTTTTTCTCATTCGTTCCCGTATATTTTGAATTCCATGACCGATATCCTGGTTTTGATTTTAGGATAATTGGGCTATCTCTACTTGTAAAGATTCAATTGGGTTTTGTGCTGCGAGTGATGATTTCGTGAATGGATTTGGAATTTACAGTAGTTTTTGCTTATATGTGATTTAGGATTGGAGTTATTGACGATATGCAAATTTTCTCTTCTTTTGGTGTTCCATCAACTGTTCTGCAGTTTCCTCAAAAAAAAAAAAAAAAAAAGATATCTTCTTTTGATGTTTATTGTTGAAGTGCTATTGCATCCGGGCTGTGCGATTGTAGTAGCTTATGGTAAAAGAAAATGTCTGTTGTAAGCTTGCTTAGTGTGTTCTTTTGTCTGTTACTTGACCATGCATGCTCGGTATATGTTATGCGAAATGGAAAGTTGTGCCGCTTCTACCCCCCCTTCCCCGAACCAAGTGTTCCTGTTTTTTCTTTTGATGATCTCACATCTATTTGTTATACTTTAACTTGCAGAGATTACAGTTTTTTTTTTTTTCCTTTTCTCCCCAGTTTTAGACGTTGTTTTCTGTGATTGTATGCAATTTTCTATTTTCTTTGATTAGTCATTTTTTCTTCCCTGATTAGTCCTATTTCTAAGATGCTGATGTTGTTCTTATCTTCACCTTTTTGCTATTCTTAAAGAAACATGTCTCATTAGTCATTAAACTTATCTGAGCCAAAGTAGAACGTAGAAATCAAGAAATAGCGAGTCCAAAGGTCCAACCAAGAAAACTAATATATTATACAGAGATATTATGTCTTTAAAGAAATGGGTTAAGTTTCGGAGACAGCATAGGTTGATATAACTTTCCCTTTCATTCAATTTATACCCTGAATGTTCAAACATTTTTAAAAAATCTTCCAGAGGACCAGATCATATGTTTCTCGTTTTAAGTTCTGAAACTTATTTGATTTCCTTGAAAGTTATCCAGGTTGTGAACTGAGGCTACAGAGTGCTGCTGAACCTCTGTCTAGTTGTATACTGGTGACAAGGACATCATGTCACCAAAGCCATTAGACTATGAGTCCATTAATGAAAATGTGAAGAAGGTTGCATATGCTGTTAGAGGTGAGCTCTATCTTCGAGCTTCTGAGCTTCAGAAGGAAGGGAAGAAGGTAGCTATAATTTTTTCTTGGATCACCATTATTTTACTTATTGGCATCATCTCACTATTCATTTTAGGGAAAAACCTTGCTTTTCAACCATGTTTATATAATTGTCGATTGATAATAAAATTTGTAAGTTATCATTGTATTCTTGACTAAGTGTGAATTAATCAAGTGGTATGTATTGTACCATCTGGTGTTGTCATTGTGTAACTCTATGGTAGAGTGAATTGGTCAATGAGTACAATAGGATACTATTACCTAACCAGGAGAGGTATAGGCTTTGCATATTTTGATTTTGGTTAGGTTCAATGTAGTCAATCTTTTCATATTACAATTTTAATGACTTTGCTTATTTAGAATGTACTTCTATCTTAAATTTTAAATTTATAATTATGGTTTTGCAGATTATTTTTACAAATGTCGGCAACCCTCATGCTTTAGGACAGAAGCCATTGACCTTCCCTCGTCAGGTTCATTGCCACTTCTACATTCCTTTTTGCTTTGTTCTTTTCTAGGAATAACCTGCCTCCTCAAATTTAATATGAAAGGAGCACCTTTTGTTTTACTATGCTCTGTTTTTGGCACGATGACATTATATCCTTGTTTTTAAGTCTGTTTTGATATATGTTAATTACTTGTGCAGGTGGTGGCTTTATGTCAAGCTCCATTCTTGTTAGATGATCCTAATGTGGGACTCATCTTCCCAGCAGATGCAATTGCAAGAGCCAAACATTATCTTTCATTGACATCAGGTGGTCTAGGTATGCTGACGTATCTCACATTTTATGTACATGCTGGAAAAAGGGTTTAACATTTGAGATCTATGTAGAGACTCTGCCCTTTTGTCTTTGATTAAATGGGTAAGAAGTGGGAAAGACCATACAGTAAAACTTGAGATGGATAATCTATACTCTTTTCTTGATCAATTAGGTGCCTACAGTGACTCTCGAGGGCTTCCAGGAATAAGGAAGGAGGTGGCAGAGTTCATTGAAAGGCGTGATGGATATCCAAGGTAAATATTAGGTACCAAACCTTTTTGTAAAACATTCTGGATTCCTAATTTTTAGGTTATTTAAAGCTGAATACATGTACATTTACACCCATATGCAGTGATCCAGAAATCATATATCTGACAGATGGTGCAAGCAAAGGGGTAATGCAGATTTTGAATACTATTATCCGTGGTGAAGGGGATGGTGTAAGTTTTCCTGATTTAGTAAACATGTTTCTTCTCTCTGATACTAGTGTATAGGTTATAGGTTTTTTCATCTCTCTTCTTTATTCTCTTCCTTTTCAGTTTAAAAGTGTGTGTGTGTTGGGTGGGGGGAGGGGGGGTTCTTGTTACCTTAATCCATCCTGTATACATGTGGAGGTACTTGTCTTTCCCTATGCTTTTGTCATTCACTTTGGGTGGATATCTTATTGGCAGATTTTGGTTCCAGTACCTCAGTACCCACTTTACTCTGCTACAATATCTCTACTTGGTGGTTCTCTTGTTCCATATTACCTGGAAGAGACAGCAAACTGGGGTCTTGACGTCAATAACGTTCGCCAGTCAGTTTTGCAGGCTCGTTCTAGAGGAATAACAGTAAGTATACCTTCATTTGTTCTGATCAAGTGCAGAAAATCTGTTTTAAGAATCCATAGACAAGACTTAAATGATATATTTACTCATGGTTTAGATCCAGGATTAACTCTTTGGTTATTCGAATTGCCAAAAACTTGGGTGGAATAGAGATGGATATAGGTCCTGAATCTACTGAAGAGCATTACTCATTGCTATGAAAATATGTAATATAGGTACTTAAACTAGGTATCACGTCTGTGTCACACTCACACTCTTCACTTTCTTGTGCAAATTCTGTGTCGGGCACCTTGCTGATTCTGTGCTGGGTAATGTTACAATATGGCAGAGCCAGACTTTTCTACTGGCAAAAAATTTTCACCTCTGTATTGCTGTCTTGCCCACTGCATCATATGAATAAGGTAGCTTTTTATTAGAAAATTTTCTAGTGAAGATCTGTAAAATGGAGAGTCCTATCCTGCTGCATGTGGACCATGTATTCTGTGATATTAATGTAAACTCTGTATGTGATTTTTCCCTCACCCCTTTTTTGGAAGGTGTGGGTGATATGGACTATAATATAGAGAAAACCGAGTTTTTGCACAAAATATAAAAGAAAGTATACAAAAGGGTGGATAATTTTGACTAACTTGACTGTTACTGGCTTCTTCAACTTGCTTATTAGTATGACATCGTATGATCTTCTGAACCTAGTTATTGTACAACAAATTACCTATCATTTCATATGGAAAATCTGACTACTACTACATTATTTCTTATGTACTGGATGTAATCAGGTCCGAGCCATGGTGATTATAAACCCAGGAAACCCTACTGGCCAGTGTCTAAGTGAAGCTAATCTAAAGGAAATACTACACTTCTGCTTCCAAGAAAACTTAGTCCTGCTTGCAGATGAAGTTTATCAGCAGAATATATACCAAGATGAGCGCCCTTTTATAAGTGCAAAAAAGGTATAACAATTATGCTCTTTGATCCGAATTTTTGTTGTGTTTGCCAGCGGCTCATTTCCTGTCAAAACTAATTGTTCCTCAAAACACTTGAAGGTTTTGATGGACCTTGGTGCACCCTTAAGCAGAGAGGTCCAACTTGTTTCTTTTCATACTGTCTCTAAAGGATATTGGGGTGAATGTGGACAACGGGGAGGATACTTTGAGATGACCAACATTCCTCCAAAGGTTTGCTTCTTATTAACTTCTTTAAATGGCCTATATATCTCTTAATTGCAGGCTGAGAATTTATTGCTTATTTCCAATTTTAGAAGGACATTGAGCTTTCCCCTTTCATATGTTCATTATGTTTTGCTTACCAAACAATACAATGAAGTCAGAAGAAGGTATTCATATGATTCCTGATAGCCATACTATGGAACTCTTAACTTCCTGCTGCTTCATTGTTTGAACCCATGTCTCCTCTTTGGGAGACATGTTACCTGACACATTAAAGGTTAGTTAGTTTGTAACATTTCAAGCCATCTGTGTAGACAAGATCAGGTCTTTGAACCCTCACCGTGGAAAACAGGATCCTGTAGGTAATCTGTTCATACTAGATTGTGTTGTGTCCATATAATTTTTTTTTGGTAGAAAATGTCTATAATTCAAAGTAAGAATATATCATGCCATTTGATTTCTCACATTTTTGGCTGCTAAATATGCAGAAAATTGTAGATAAAAGAAATCTTGCATGGACACTGAACCAGAAGGCAAATTATTAATTTAAGAAATTTAGAAAATGTCTTAAATAGGTAGTAATGACCCTTCTGTGTGCAGCTTGTTTGTCTGTTCTTGTTTACAAGTATGCATATTGGTATATGGTTATAAATTGAATTTTTTCCTGAAAAATGAGGCTTACACTGAAAGAGGAAATTTCTAAAACTAAGTGGTACTAGACTATCAATGCCCATTCTTTTTCTTGTTGATCTGTTGCTGCAGACTGTTGATGAGATTTACAAGGTTGCATCTGTATCACTCAGTCCAAATGTCCCCGCACAGATATTTGTAAGTCCTCTGTCCAAATAAAAAAAAAAGATGCAAGTTAGAGTGCAGTTAAATTAGTCAAATTTCCTAAGTTGTTTGCTCAATAAGTAAGATAAATTTTCTTCAGAACATCTGGTTCATTCTTTTGGCTATCTGAAGATTCTATCATGTAGCAATCTGGGGGCTGCTCTCGTTTTCTCCTATTGGGCCTATTATGTGAAACTTACAAAAATATTTTTTTTTCTTTTCCTCCAGCTAGGGCTGATGGTCAACCCACCCAAGCCAGGGGATATCTCCTATTTGAAGTTTGTTACAGAGAGGTATGATGGCTGAGATCAGCTCCCTCTAAATCAACTTATTCTCCTTTTGTTTGGCAAACCCTGCTTATGGACAAATGCCTTAGAAACAGGAGGTTTTGAAATAAGTATGACTAAAACAGAATATATGACATGTAAGTTTAGTAGTAATAGGAGTGCAAATCAAGTTACACTTAGGATTGGAGACCAAGAGATAACTTAATGTGACCACTTCCAGTACCTTGGTTCAATAATTCATAACAAGGGAGAAATTGAGGAGGATGGTGCCCAAAAAATTAAAGCAGGATGGGCAAAATGGAGGGGTGCATCTGGAATTTTATGTGATTGGTAAACACTACTTAGATTAAAACGAAAATTCTATAAAACAGTTGCAAGGCCATCTATGCTGTATGGAGCAGAGTGTTGGGCAGTCAAGAAACATGTCCAGAAAATGAATGTGGCAAAAATGTGAATGTTAAGATGGATGAGTGGGAAAAACAGAAAGGATAGTATTAGGAATGGAGTTATTTGTAGGAACCTAGGATGGTTTGGGCACGTGCATAGAAGACCATCAACTGCACAGTTAGAAGAAGTGATTTGTTACACATTGAAGGGGCTAGAAGAGCTTGGGGTAGACCAAAAATAACATGGGTTGAAGTAGTAAGAAATGATTTAAGCACTAATAGTTCAACAGTGGTTATAGAGTTGAATAGAATGGATTGGCGAAACATGATTCATGTAGCCGACCCCATATAGTTGGGGATAAGGCATGGATGACTTTGAATATTGGCCTTCACTCTTGGTTGCAGTTCAGTTTGATGCCAATGACCATTTTCCCTAATATTCTCAAAATATTTATGGAAAGTATAAAAAAGTGCTTGTACAAGTATAGTACAAATACTTATTTTAATAACAAGCAAGGTGGAATATATATTGTGTAACTAACCTACTCATATCTTAAAGTACCAACTTGCATAAAATGCATATCTATGTGCTACAATGTGGCACACGTGCTCATCAAAATAATATAACAAATAAATGGCCTATCCTGGATTTGGCATAGTGCAATGTTACTCTGTGACTCTGGTTTGATGATAATAAGTGCTCTTTTGCCACCACTTACATTTTGTCCATCTTTTGCTATTTCTTTTGTCCATCTGAAAGACTGCAATTGATTAGATGGCTAGGTTATCTGGTTGATTTGAACTGTGGACACTCCACCATACAATTCCAGTAATAAAACATTTTACTTCTCATCAAGCAATTTTGTTTATTTATGAATTACTAAATGTGCAGCAAAGCAATCCTTGATTCATTGAGGAGGAGGGCACACATAATGACTGATGGATTCAATAGCTGTAGAAATGTGGTTTGTAACTTCACAGAAGGTAATTAACAATTTTGCACCTTTCTCATTTTCATTTCATGCATTAGTATCTCCTTGCACTTCAAAACATGTTTCTTGAATCTTAAGAGATCAGCTACTGATTAGAATATCATTTTCAGGAGCCATGTATTCTTTCCCACAAATACGCCTACCACCAAGGGCCATTGAAGCTGCCAAAAACGCTGGAAAAGTTCCTGATGTTTTCTATTGTCTCAAGCTTTTGGAAGCAACGGGCATTTCCACAGTCCCTGGTTCAGGTTTTGGCCAGAAAGAAGGGTAATTACTAACTTCATTGTTCTCTTGCATAGATTATGCACACACAGAAGTGCATATGATCATCTTCCTTGGTAATGTTTCTGAGATAAAAGGTGTTTGGGCATTTTTACAGGAATCATAGGGCAATTTGGTTTTCATTCTTCACAGTAACTTCATTTGAAATGTCCTTAATGCTCCTCCTTTCAGGGTCTTCCACTTGAGGACAACCATCTTACCAGCTGAAGAAGATATGCCTGCAATTATGGCCAGTTTCAAAAAGTTCAATGATGAGTTCATGGAACAATATGAAGACCACAGAGGCTATTCAAGGATGTAAAGGGACTCCAAGCATCCTAATGCTTTATCATATTCGACAACTCTGGAAACTAATTAATGTACTATTAACTTCTTGCACTTCATTCTCTTGAAATGGGGTTAATAAATTCATCCTTGCTTTTGTCTTGCATTTCTGCCTCAGATTCCACAATCCACACCGTTGATCTTTCCATTATGTTATGTTTCAAGATGGGATATCTTTACCATATAATGCCGATACTTGCTTTGGCCTTCCCAAATTTTTTTTTTTCCATCTGTCTTCCTTCCACCCTTCTGCACATGCCATTCGGCCAGTAGTAGTAAAAAGAATCACAGATAACAGAAATCTATCAATGAAAAGCTCTTTCAACGAAAAGGGCGAGAAAAGCTCCATGAAGTGAAGGCAAACCATTAACATGGTTCTTACCTGAAGTGAAGAGCATATATTGTCTCTATTTTTTTCTTGATGAATGCATATATTGTCTCTAATAATCGTTTAGTATTACTAAAGCTGATTTTTTATTTTTTTTATTTTTTAGTTGTACTTTCTTTATTTCCTCTGTTCATTTTCTTGTTAGTGAGGGTAAGGCGGGGGACTGAGAAATGACATAAAAGGAATTGAAAGAAACATGATAGGATATCCACAATCTCACTGAGCAACTAGCTTCAGTTCAAGACTAGATGAGTTTTTGTTCTTTTTCATTCTTATTCTGTTCCTTTTTTTTTTTTAATGAACGATGACTCTATTTGGATAACATACAAGGAAAAACAAGCAAATTACGGGAGAGCAAGTTCAGCTCAATTTTAGATCAGTTCCAATAAAGGAGACTAAGAATCCGAGAATCCAGATTGCTCGACAAGGCTTAGGTCATTTGCAACAAAGGCAGTAAAATGAGTGAGAGTTGGTTCGACCACCACCTGTCAAGTGTGCTTGCCGTGGACCATTACTAACATTGTTAGGGAATGCCTATTGTGCAGAGATCATCTCAGTCGAAGGGGTGGAGTAGGATTGCTAGAGAAGAAGCTCTTTCAGCAGATAATGAATGTATTTCTTTTAATAATAGTAATCCCCCTGGGGTCTTGGTTTAATTTATTTGTGTGATTCGTGGGGTTGTGTTACCCCCGTCTTGTGCAGCACCTCTTTTTGTTTTATTAAAAAAAAAAGAGAGCCCCTAAGCCCGTTTGGAGGGTTTTATGATCGGGGTGCATTGTATTAATTGAACTGCAGTGGTGGAGCACCGGTGTTTTGGAGAAGTTATTCAGATTAGCTTTATATTTGAGCAGTGGTTTGGGCGTTCTGGCTTTTATCAAAGACAACTCTCGTCCGACCACCACCTCTTGATTTACATTTAAACCCTAAATTTAAAACCCTAAACCCCTGACAACCAATCCTACACCTTAAAATTAAAGCTAAAAAACCCTAAACACTCGGCTAATCCTTGGATTCCCTTCGAAAAAGAAGAAATGCTCATTTAATCACGTCGTTTTTCCTTTTCATGCTAAGAATGTAACACGAGTGATGTGGTTTCTCGTATCCAACGTGAAAAGGAACAATCCCTATCGAATAAAAAAAATTAATGAATATTATGATTATCAAGTAGTATTGACAAGAAAATTTTCGAATCAATGGGGCCGAAGATCATATGTAGCGAACAAGTCTAAACCGTCGAATCACTCGTCATTGCTCTGGTTCGTCCATTTGATGCACTTTCTGTTTCATGGCTAAGTCAAAGATGCTGCCTCGTATATGGATTTCCAAAATCAGTCGATCTTGGTTCGACATCCATGAGTCAATTCAGTCCAGACGTGAAGGAAGCCACGTTATAGAACATGTGGTGTAAAAATAAGAAAGGAGGACGACGAGACGAGGTTTGAAGAAGGAGGAGATGATTAGATGAAGCAGAAGAATGCGAGGTTCATTTCTCTCTTCGTGCGTGTCTGTCACACATTACCGTTTCAGTATTATCTTGAACGATTTTTATTTTAAATTTTTGCCTTCTGTTCTTGGAATTGATCTGCTTTATCGTTTGAAGATCGAGCTAAAAATCAATCTATTAGTCATACGTGGGAGAACCGTGGAACTTCCATTTAGAAACTCAGTTACTGTTTCTTCTGCTTTTCCTGAAAGTGAAACATATGTTCTTATAGTTGGTTGAGTTTGAGAGCGGATTCGACTTAGCAGGTTGAGACAATCCCAATTGTCTTACAGATGCAATAGAGAGTGTATGATACCTCACTAGTCCATTTAATTTACATATATACAAACCACAATCATGTTCTCCAGTAAAACAAACTCTTTACAATCGAATTGAACTGACTTCGTAGAAATAAATATGCAGGAAGGAACCAAACAGAAACTATTCACAATGTACAAGTACACACCATGCTCAAACCTCAGGAAAATGTCGCACTAACAAAAAGGCTATTAATATGTTGTGAGATTTCAAACTAGGTCCGTCATTCACCTCCTTTGGTTATAACTGCCAAAAGTTATCTTCTTTCTCATTTTGGCGATGGTGCCTTTGGGTGGGATGACTTACCAGTGATGACCTTTTTCACTTTGGCAATTGAGTGCTTAACCTTGGAGCCAACACCAGATAATATGTTGTGAGATTTCTTATGGGTTGGCTTAATATTCACATCTTTAAGGGCTTCTACCATTACTGGAGCATCAGAGCCCGAGTCTGCCTTTCTGTCTCCATCTTCTTCCTCTTCATCTTTCTCTTCATCTGTTTTTTCTCCTTCTGCTTGATTGGTTTGTTGCTGTTCGTTATGCAATTCTTCATCACTGCCTTGTGGCTTCATATCCTGTGCAACCATCTGCAAGGTTTCTGTTGTGGATCTCTGCAGGAGATCGAATAATGAAACCTTATCTGTATCCAATGTTACCTTCTCTCCTGGCTCAATTTCTGAAACTTCTCCAGGTCTCTGATATTCCACTTCAGCTTCTTGCAAGGTCTTCTCAGTTGGATGCTGTGACATGGATACAATATCTCTCTCTTCAGTCTGAATATTTGTTTCTGTGCTCTCAACTGAAACTTCTTTTCTTGTGGTCCTTTCTTCAAGTATTGCATCAGAGGCCTTTTGGAATGTCTCGATGCTCTGGGGAGAGTCAGTGATTTCTGGAACCTTTTTTGTGCTTGCTTTTGGTGATACCTCTTCAGCTGGAGGYTGGATATCAGGCAAGACATCAAACACCTCAGCATCATCTGTAATATCTCTCCCTTTAGTTGCTTGTTCAGTAGATAATATGACTACCATGTCTTCCTTTTCTGGAACTTGGGTTTCTCCATTATTTTCTGCGCATATTGTTTTGTGAATCTTTCCATCATCATGCTTCTCTTCATCTTCTTTCTTTAGAATTTCTTCTACAGGAGCCTGCATAATAGAAGAAATGTCAAAAACTTACTCCAAGAATTTCTTATATTACAGAAAGCTCTAATTTCAGTAGCTTTAAGACTCACCTCATCGCTAAAGTGCCTTCCTTCTCTTTTTTCTTTTTGGATGTTCAATTCAGTTTCTGCTTGCTTGGCAGGTATTGAAGTTTTTATTTCATCATCTCTCATGACCTGGCTTCCATTCTCTGGCTTTTCTTCACATGAAGCCTCCGTTTGAGCTGTGTCATGGTTACTGTTTGGAACCTCTTCGTCTTTTTTGTGCAAGTCTTCAGTAATGTCACTTGAACTGGATTCCAAGTTAGAGCAAGTATTCTTAAGCTTCTCAACTTCAATGAGGTCTTTTTGAGCACTTGTATATTCAGTTGTACTTTCAGCTTCATCTTCATTGGTCTTGACTCTTTCATGAATCAATATTTTAGGCACAATTTCAGAGATTTCTTCAGTTTCATTGCCTACTTTGTCTTGTGGTTCTCCCTTGTCTTCCATGGTCACAGTTTCTATCTGGTTGTTAGAGCCTGCCATTTCTAACTTCTGCTCTTCCAGTACAAAATGAGAGCTTTTAACCTGCATGGAATGTTGACTTTCAATTAATAGATATGAGAACTGACAAGCCCATCTGTCAATTATATGTTTGGTTACCCATTCAAAGAGCACAAGACCACGCCCATGGGACATGGTTAGAGTCAGTTACATGACCATTAACAAGGATACAAAACATGCAGGAGACACAATTATACATGCAGAAGAAGCCTTGTCCTGCCAAGCAAATATCCAATGAAGCTCCGGCTTACATGATAAGCCTTCTCCAAGTCTTACAGAGGATACTCAAGGCTACTTTGCATTATAGGGTCTATACACTCATTGGCAATCAAGACTATTGAGTATCTTTCTACTCTCCGCAAATGCACTCTGAAATGGAGAAGTAAACACCAAAGATATATTGCTAAATGGTAACTTTGGAGAAATTAAGTTTAGGTCTAACTCTAAGGAAAGATCGAACACCACTCAACTTTGCTATCTTATCAACAAAGTTCTCTAATTAGGTTATGCTGGTTCTGCTATTATGTCAATTTCATCTTAATTTGTATCTTGCACTTATGTTTCTTAATGTGTCTCGTTTGATTATAAGAAAAATGAAGTGCTCATTACATTTTTTTAAAGGTAAAGATTTACTGAAACCTTGAAATGAAATCTTCCATTTGCTAAACACAGAGCACAATGAAAATAATATTTTCCTATAGACAATAAATAATCATGAATGACAAGTCAGTTGTACCTAATTAATATTTGTTTCCCTAACTGTTATGCATAAATAATCATGATATTGCAGGCCAATACCTGAGGTTGTTGGATCTTTATGATCAAGTGAGAATTTTAAATCCATAAAATTCAAAGTAATAGGACCAATAAATAGCTCATCCTTATAGATGAGAAGGATTGATAACAAGATTAGGAAGAACAGAATCAGGTATACATGCATCACATGGAAACCTAGAGGTGACTGATGGATGACAATGCGGTAGAAGGTTGGCATAGATTGTTTGATCATGTGCATTAAAAGATCCAATAGTTGGGAGTGTGGAGTGTGGAGTCATTCCCTGTTAAAGAAGTGTGGAGTCAACCTATACCTCCGAAGGTTGGGAGTTTTTGTTGGGAAGCCTTTCTGGAAAGCGTTAATACAGGAGATTTACTTCAAAGAAAAAGACCCAATAGTTGTTTGTCTCCTCATTGGTGTGTCCTCTGTAAATCCGATGGTGAGTCCGGATACAATTTACTAATTTCCTGTCAGTTTGTTAAAGCTATTTGGGAATGGTTTACTTCTTTGTTTGGGTGCAGGTGGACTCCCCCTTTGAATGTGCAAAGCTTATTCACTTCCATGCCCAACTGCTCAACAAAAAGGGCAAAGGTTATGTGGAGATGTGTAAGGGCTGCAGTTTGTTGGACTGTTTGGGAGGAGAGAAATTCGTGGATTTTTCTAGACAAAGAAGGAAGCTTGGAAGTAATATTGGAGATTATTCACATAAGGGTAATACATTGATTAAAAACTTTGGAGCTGTTTGCTGAATTCTCTGTTGATGTGATGCTAAGGAATTGGAAGGAAATTGCAGAATCAACTTCAAGTAAGAAAGCTTCAAGTTCTTGTTGGACCCGTCCACCAAGTGGGTTTATCAAACTGAACTTTGATGGTAGTAGTTTGGGCAATCCAAGGCCCTCTAGAATAGGGGGAGTGATAAGAGATGAAAAAGGGAATATGTTAGCTATGTATTCTGGCCTAATTGGGGTGGGAGACTCCTTGAGGGCCGAGATATTCGGAGCTCTTGAAGGAGTACAAAGGGTCAAAGACATGCATTTCAAGAAATTGATCATAGAAGGTGATTCTGAAATTGTAGTGAACTAGTTAAAAGAGGACAACTTCAAGCTCTGGAACTACAACAATGAAAAGAGGAAATTTAAGTGGCTGAGTAAGGACATGGAAGTTAGATGTACATGGACAAAGAGAAGTGCAAACTCATTGGCAGATGACTTAGCTAGGCAAGGGGTGAACAGAAACTCTATTTGTTGGGCTGTTTTGTAGTTGGTTTCAGTTGGGTGTACTTTAATGTACTTTGATGTATTGGGGAGTTAAGTTTTTTTAGCTCCTTATTTCTGTACTTTCTCAATTTTTAATAAAATGCACTGTTATTGATAAAAAAAATGTGCATTAAAAGATCACGACTGCACTAATTAGGAGTGATTTGGTGCAGGATGATTGTTCTAAGTGAGAAATAGGAAGCCAAGATAAAAAATAGGAAGACAAGATAGGAAGACAACATAAAATAATAGGAAGCCAAGATAAGAACATGAAATAAAAAAAAAAGAAGAAGAAGAAAGAAGAAAGAAGAAAGAAGAAAGAAGAAAGAAGAAAGAAGAAAGAAGAAAGAAGAAAGAAAGAAGGATTTAATTGAATTGAGTAGGGTTTGGCTGCTGGTAAGTTTAACAGTTTTACATAATTGATCTGTCAATGATGAACCAAGAAAAGTAGAAATTTGGTTGCAGGTGTTCAAGCACTGAGAATGAAGGCTTCCATGTCTTTTCATGGTTAATAGGTTTAAAGCAGAACAAGCAAGGAAAAGAATTTAATCTACCATGAAAATCTGTTTGAGGCTGAAAGCACCAATTGAAGGAGAACTAGAAAAGAGAAGCTGGAGCTGGAACCAAGGTTTTCCATAAAATATAAAAGCTTATGCAGTATAGGAGGTGACCATTTTGTCTCCTCAAGATGTACAAGGGAGACAGAAGCTAGGGCTTATTTGAATGTCTCCATGTAGGCCAGCTCAAAGTGCAAACACGTTGTTGCTTTGTAGACAGTAGTATTACTCATGGTCCAACAGATTACAAGGATCTGCCCTGCTATTTCCAATACCATGACCTAAATACCTAATGCATCTTAGTTCCCTAAATAATTGAATTAAGTTCAAGTTTTACTTTCATTCACTCTTATCCTGACTATTCCTGATTTTAACTCTTGCTAGTTATTTCAAAGTTTATTACAATCATAGCTGTTGCTAATGACCAAAGAATGATGCTTAATAGAGAGGTAGAGGGGTGAGAAGAAGGTATAAGAGATTCCAAATTCAAAACTTATATAACCTCTTCCTTTGCGATACTGTATTTTGTGGTAGCATTTTTGCCTATCTCTTCACCATTCTTGTCTCCAGAGACCATTTTGCTTCCATCCTCCCCAATCTTCTTGCCCTCTTTTTCATCCTCTTGATGGCTTCTGATAATTTCATCAACACAAAATTCTCTGCAAGTTTCCTTCAGGGCTTGCTCTTCCTCTATGATTTTCTTTTCAGTTTTCTGAATTGAACCAGCATTGTCAAGTTCATTAGAAATCTGTTTAAGAGATAAACCTTTCAACCAAACAGAAAGTGGAAAAGAAGTAAATGATATGTAGAATAAATAATGTTTTGAGTTCTTATACACCACCAGACCTCTCCGTTTAAAGTTTCAGACTCATTTGCTCGATCTGGTTCTTCAACCTCCAAATCATAATTCTGATCTTCAGTGTCCAATTTAGTTGTTGCCTTTTCTCCTTTTTCATCTCCCTGGCTTTCCTTATATGTCTTTTCTTCTAGAGAAACTAGGTACGGGCCCAGGGAAACTCCCTTTTCCTCTGTGACCTCTTTTTCAGTGCTCTCACTTGCACCTACATCCTTGAGTTCCTTGGGAATCTATAGTGGTAAAGCTTCAATATTACAAACAATATACACACACAAGGATAGGAAGGAAACTAAATGAATCTTCCCTTCTTATGGTCCATATGATCTCTTACTTGTAAACTTCAATGTTGTAATCTCACTTACCAGATTTAGTTTCTCTTTTTGTTCATCTACAACCTCCAATGCTTTACTCTGATCTTCATGCTCCAATGCAGTTGCTTGTTCTTCAACCTTATTTTCCTCCTTTTTGCTTTCTTGAATATTCTCCTTAATTGTTTCTTCATTGACAAGTTTGGGGCACAGGTTATTGAGAGCTCCATTTTCCTCTGAGATCTGTTCTGAAAATTCCTCGCTTGCAGAAGCATCCTTGATCCCTTTAGATAACTGCACAATGAACAGCGCTTTTAAGCTGGAAAACTCAAAAAAGTGAGTAAAACAACAAAGAGGAAATGAACGGAACTACAGTTCTTATACTTAATATTACCTCTTCTTTTGAAATTTCTTCTCTTGCAGTGTCATTTAATTTATTTACTTGCTCATTATGATCATTTTCAACCTTCAATTCAGGTTCTGCTTTCTCAAGATTCTCACTTTCTTCATCAAATGATTCATGGGACCTTTCAAGTTTTTCACCTGGATCAACATCTCCAAGGATCTGCTAGAAAGATTCTATATTAGTAAAGGCTTCAATAAAATGGATATGGCACTAAACAGATTGGAATGGTGAAACAGGATTCATGTGGATGACTCCATAAAGTTAGGACAAGGATTAAATGATGATGATGCATTGAAAATGAAAGTTATATACATTAAAAAAGTTAATTGAAATATGATAGCATATATTTCTTTGACCTCTTCTTGAAGATTCCCATTCTTTCCAGCATCAGGAGTTTCTATTGTTTCTTCATTATCATCTGTTTTGTCCAATATAGTGGCTGTATTCTCCAACTTACTTTCCTTTGGACTTTTCTTGAAGCTTTCTTCAATGTTCTTAACTCGATCATCCTCTGTCTCCAATTGCATGATACCCTTTTCAGTGTTTGCACCCGGACCAGTTTTTTCAAGATATTCTGGTACCTTGTCAAATGGCTGTCCTTCATTCTCCAAGCTTTCCTCCAAGCCTTCCTCATCTTTCAGTGTTTCCATTTTTCTATTTTCACTGGCCTCAATATCTTTTGTAATCTCTACCTCTGAAGTTGAATCATGATTTAATTCAGGTATGTGCTTTCCAGCATCTAATTCAGTGGGCTTGTTTAGCTTTTCACCTTTTTCTTCCTGGAGCTCTTGATTTGGATTCTCCTTCTTAGTATCATCGGACTGCATTTGAGGGATTTCCTCAAGCTTCTTGAGCTCTTCTTTTTGTGTGGACATCTCTTCTATTGTGTTTGCAGAAAAAGCAATTTCTTTGTCCTTATCTTGTGTTTCATTTTCCACTGGAGCCTCATCTTTTATATTCTTACTTTCTTCAATAGACTCCAGTTCCTGTTCTTTGGATGCAATTGTAGAAGTTTCATGAAGCTTTTCTTCTGATTTGTCATCTAAGGGAGCTTTACTATAAGTAGGCTCTGTTTGAGTAGTTATTTCAATACCTTGGTCATCAAAACCCAGTGCTGTATCAGAAACTTCTACCTGCATTTCGCACTTCCTTTCTGGTTCACCTTCATCTCTAATCACTTTTTCTGCTGCTAGAATCTCCTTTTCTGTTTTGTCACTTGAATTGGTTGTCTTCTCAATTTTGACATGTTCAACATGTATACCCTGTAAGTCAGTTGGTTTTGTTTCAGTTGTTGGTAGATCTTTTTCTTCACAAGGAAAGTTAGAAGCACCTACATGCCCTCCTGGTTCAGTTTCCTGCAAGCTTGTCCCTTCTGTCACCACAGTGATAGGTGCCATGTCAAGGTTTTTGTTATTGTTATCTTCTTTATCTAAAGCCTCTTTGATCTGTTCTTCAGAAACAGCAAGCTTCTCGTTGTTATCCTTCTGTTGTACTTCTTCACTTGATGTTTCTCTTACACAGGAAGCATCAGGGCAGTTAGTTGAGTCTTCTTCATTTATTGAAGTCATCATTGCCTTTATCTCCTCTGTGTGATTTGTTGCTTCAAAGTTCTTCTCCATTGATATTTGTTCAGACTCTTTAACCTGTTGAAAGCTAACAATTAATACATAAACAAAAACGAGGGAGATTAAGATTCAAATTTTACATCCTTATCTTCCTTTTGATTTCAAGATTACATTTTTGAGTCTCTCTGCCTCCATTTTGTCTTCCTGAGAACCCTCTCGAGCTGCTTCTTCTTCAATGGACACCACTGAGATGTCCTTAATGGTGCCGTCATTCTCTGCAATCTGTTTTCCTGTCACCCCACTTGCATCATCTGTCCCTAGTTCCCTGCACTTCTGGATAACAAATGAAGTTTCAAATTGACAGAAAACAAAAAAACATACATGCATGGACACATGCTTGCACGCACATATGCATGGAATGCCAAAACAAGCATGCAGTACACACACACACACACACACACAGTCTTTCTCTCTCTTATCCAAACTAACCTCATCTTTCTGAGAGTTTTCTGAGACAGGTACTGTAGAGTGATCCTTAGCAGCACTGTCTTCCTCGACAGTCATTTTCTTGGTGGCCTCACTTTTACTGGTTGGCTCAAGTTCTTCATGTGCCTATTTTATGAATGAAAATTCAGCTTAAACAAAAGGTGTCAAGAGAAAGGAGAAAAGGGAAAATTTCAAGTTACCGCTTAGAGAAACTTGAACTAAAAAGTCAGAGGTTAGGCTTCAAAATTTATTTTCAAGCTGACCTCTCCTACAGGTTCTTTTTTGACTTCCTGAGACACTTCTTTAACTGCTTCTTCTGCAACTGATCTCGTGGAGAGGGTGTCAATAATTTCTTCATCTACGACCTGTTCTTCAGACACCTCAGGTACAACAGAAGAGTCATCCATATGCTTCTGACTACTTTCTTTTTCTATTGTTTCTTCTCTTGATGATTCTATAAGAAGAGAATATTCAGGGTTCTTATTCAGTTCTTCCTTATCTTTTAATGTCGCTGTATCTGTGGTCTCCTCAATGGCTGTTTCTTTGATGATCAACTCAGTTGATACAAGATCAGAGTCCACCTATGTAAAACATATTGCAACTTAGTGATAATACAAAGAAGAGGCAAAAGGAAGGAAGGAAATGTGAGAAATTAGGCTTCAATCTTTACATTTGAGCTGACCTCAAGTGTCCTATCTCCAAGGGATTCTGTATGGAGGTCCTTGGCATTGTCCTCTTCCTCTATGACTTGTTTCTCAGTATTCTTTATATCAACTTTGTCATCTCCCTGAATTGTTTGTATAACAGGAAATGTCAACATAACAAACGAAAGTATTAAAAAGAAAATGGATGACAAAAACTGTAAGTTTTACCATCTAACCTCTTCACTTTCATTTGAAATAACATTCTTGATGGCCTCATTTGCCTTCTCCTTTTCCCCAGTGTGATCTTCTATCTCCAATTTGGGTTCTATGCCCTCAATATTGGTGCTTTGTTGCTCATCTCCTTGAAAGATTTGAGTAACCACTTGATTTTCAAAAGATGCATTATTGTAGTCCTTAATAGCCATACTATCTTCCTGAATTTTGCTCTCTTCGGTTTTCAGGACTGTGACGTGACTTTGATCCTCAGCCACTGATTCGTAGTCCCTTTCAAGAATCTCACCTGAATCAACATCTGTGGGATTGCGATCTAATTTAACTGTCACGTTCTCGACCTTGTCTTCTTTTCCACTTCCGTGGATGCTTTCATCAAATTTCTTAACAATACCCTCCTCTTGCTCCAACTCCAGGTTATCCTTTTCAGTGTTTTCACATGCACCAGCCTTTTCAAGATCTTCACAGAATTCATCAAATGAGTTTTTTATATCCAATTTGATCTTCTCTGGGATTGTCTCCAAATTTTTGTCATCTTTCAACATTTCTGGTTTTCTATCTTCACTGGGATCTGTACATTCGATAGTTTTCTTCCTTTGTAAGATTATGTCATCTTTAAACTCAGAGATATTCTTTTCAGGGTCTGACTTAGTGAAGTTAAAATTTTCACCTTCTTCATCCTCAAGCTCTTCATTTGAATTCTTCTTATTGGCAGTGGTCTCTGTTCCACTAGTTATTTCAGCCCCCTTGTCTTCAAATTTTGATACTGTTTCAGAAGCTCCCACTAGCATTTCAGACTTTATTATGTTTTCTTCATTTTCACCTTCATCTAGATGCTCTGCTCCAAAAATTTCCTTTTCTGCAGACTCAGCTGTTGCTAGAATTTTCTCATCAGAAACAAGATTGCACTCATCTTCCATCTTCTCTTTTTCCGGTTCAACTTCCTGTGATTCAGATGCTACATGATCCATAGTGTTTTCTTTCTTCCATATTTCCTCCTCTGTAATGCAAGAAGGATCAAGGCTCTTATTTGCATCTGTTTCATGCTTTAGAATAATCATATCTGCCTCCTCTCTGCAATCCATTGCTTCAATGTTTCGTTCTGATGGTTCTAAACTGAAGTCTTTAACCTATTTACCGGATAATTTTAAGTTGAAATTGAAACACAAACTAAATTGGGAAAATAAAACCATGGATAAAACTTCAATTTCATGTTCATTCTAACCTCTTCATTGAGTCTCTCTGCCTCCATTTCATCTTCCTGAGAACTCTCTTTAACTGCTTCTACAGTGGATACCTTGGAGATGTCCTCAACAATGCTATCTTCCTTTACAATCTGCTTCTCGGTTTGCTCTTCTGCACAGTGAGTGCCAAGTTCCCTGGGTATCTGCATAATAGATGAGGCTTGAACTCAAAGGAAGGTGAATAAAAGGAAAAGAAAGATAGAAAGAGAATGGTATGATTAATATTGGAAAAAGCAACAAAATTTAAAGGAAACACTAGAAATTAAGCTTCTAATTTCATATTAAGGCCAACCTCAGTTTCCTGACAGTTCTCTTTAACAGGACCAGTGGAGTTGTCCTTAACACTGATGTTCTCTACTATCCTGTTCTTTGTTTTTTCACCCTCACTGGTTACAAATTCTTCACTTACCTGTTTGAGAGATTAAATTTTGAACTTAACAAAAAATGGTAGAAGAAAATCTAAAACATAAACTTTCATGCTACCACTTAGATAAGGAAATGAGAGTAAGAAAAAAGAAAGCGTCAAATTAAATTGTAAATTTGTACTGAAGATGACCTCTCCGGTGGGCTTTATTTGGTCTTCTGGGGAACCCTCTTTAGAAGTTTCTTCTGCAATTGATTCTGTCAAGAGATCATTAACAGTGCTTTCTTCATTTATGACCTGTTGTTCAGTGCCTTCTTCATGTGGACCAACTATTTTAGGTTGTTCAGAAACCTGTGTGAAATTTGAAAAAGAAGCTTCAACATTTTAGACAAGTGTAGAAGGGAAAAGAAGGAAGGAATAAAAGAGAGAAACATTTCAGTTCTAATGCCTTGACCAGACCTCTTTGTTTATGATTGCATTCTTTGCAGCCTCATTAGTATCATCTGTTTTGTAACTCTGATCTTCGCTTCTCATATCAGGGTCTGATTTCCTCAGGCCGTTATTTCCCTCTTCTTCACCATTATGATCAACTGTTTTATTTCCAGCAGATAGAGTATTATGTTCCGTAATGTGACTGTCTTCCTCTATTATTTTCTCAATGTCCTTGCCTGCATATAAGGTTTCTAGACAGTCATAATCCCAGATGAAGAGCTTCTTTTTCTCCATTTCTTTAACTTTTTCATATTCTTTTTTCCTTTATGAGATTCCTTGATGGATATATGGTGAATTTAAAGCTATCTATTGTCCAAAATAATGTAGACATCACATATAATGAAATGTCAAGACATGACATATATGCTGGTGTTCAAGAACCAATTTTGAAAATATAATTTAGCATGGTTGAAAAGGTGAGATGATCACAACCATCTGATTTTTAAGATTTTTCCTGCCCCATTTAATAAATTCTAAGCTAGATTGGATGTCTGTGAATATCAAAATCAAATTGACCATTGAACAAGAAGATCCTTAAATGGGGACTCATAGTATTATGGCCCCATCCACTTGCTGATACACCACATATCCCGAACCTAATTTGAGTATTGTTATTTATAATGCATAAACTCTATTACATGTATATAATGGTTGGTTGGTATTTTTTCTGCATGGCATAATATTTTATTTTCTAGCTCACATGCAGCATTATCATTCGGTATTAGAGGCCACCTTTGAATGGGTTCAACTTGAATTATTTAGTTTTTGTTACCACTTGCATGAACTCATAACAAGGAGCATTGGAAAAAAAATTAAAGCTACTCACATTCTGTTTCAATTTTATGCAATCTTGTTTCATCAGTTCCTTGTTTTGCCATCTCCACTATTATTTTCTCACTGGAATCTATGATTTCCAATTTCTCCATAGGGTACAATGAACCAAACTTTTCAGGTTTTTCAACTTCCACTCCACTTGTTTGTAGGTTCAACCCTACTGTTGGTGTGCTGTCTATAGTTTTCTCCTGTTCTAAAATTGCTTCCTCCATGCTTTTGCTCAGTGCATCAATGTGCTTTCCCTCTCCTAGAGGAGCTCTGTCAAGATTGGCGACTTTCTCTTGTTCTTCACTTGCTTCTGCAGTTTCTTCAATCAATGAATGTGTAATAGATGTGCCATCAAGGTATTTGCTAGTTCTCTCTATTTCCTTACACACAGTCATCTCACTTGGATCAGTTGCCTCTAGATTCTGCACCACTGATGCTAGATCAGAAAAAAGTTCATCCACATTGAAGAAAAAGAAGAAAAGAAAACAGAAACTATTCAATTCATTATAAAAACAACAAAGAAATTTAAGAAATTTGTAGAAAGAATTTTTTTTCACTAACCCCCTCATTGTTGTCTTCTTCAGCCGTCTGAAGTTGCTCAGACATCACAACCAATGGTTTTTCAAGATTATCCACATCTGATTCATCATTCTGCAAGCTTGGCTGAGCAAGTTCTTCTTTGGAAGTCCTTTCACAGTTCTCTAGACCCTTGATTTTTTCATTAATGTTAGTTTGGTCTTTTCCTTCTATCACACAAGGCTCCTCAGTTGGAACCTCTGACTTTGACAATATCAGCTTCTCGTCTTCTCTTCGTGCAGTTTCTTTGTCTTTAATGAAAAAAGGATCAATACTTCTTTTAGCATTTTCTATCTTCTTGCTTGAGTCAATTGAGTCTGGACTTTCCTTTTCCAAAGCAAGATTAGAGGTCTCTTCATGCTCCCCACCTTCTTGTGGCTCAATTTTCTCTAAGCTTGTTTCTGTTGACATTGCAAGACTTGGGATATCAAGATCATCATGGATTTCCTCCTTGTTGACTAAGGTGTCCTCTTCATCATTTTGGATCTTTGCACTCATTTTGACCGTTGATATAGAGGAACTTTCAAGGCTATCTTTTGGGCTTTCTTCTCCATGTTGTTTCTCTTCTTCTGTCTTTTCAATTTGGCCGATTGCTTGGGAACCTTTCTCCATTCCTGCTAAATTAGTTGATTTCTCTTTCTCTTTGCATTCTGCTTCTTGAATGTTCTGTTCCACATCCTGTTTGATGGTTGTAACGTCTGTAACTTCATTACTGTCTTTGCTCACCCCCCTGATGCAAGCTTCTGCAGCATCTACTTTCAAGCTTTCTCCAGTAGAATCTGGTGTAAGAAATGTAACTTCTTGATCATGATGTGGGACTACCTTGAGTATTTGAATAACCTTTCCTCTGAACTCTAATTTTGCATCTTCAGTATTTTTTGGGTTTTCTATGGAAGCCTGTTCATCCACAATGGTTTCAGCATCTAGACCAGGTATTTCCAGCTGAGTGCCATTTCTTTCACCAACCTTGCTTTCATCTCCTGTTTTTATTTGTCCTTCCTGCAAGTTCTGTTCAACAGAGGCAGGCAATATAGGTAAAGAAGAAAGTTTCTCCCCCACATGATCTTCAATGTTCTTTATTAATGGAAATTCAGAGCTTTTTTCAGACTTTTCATCTTCTGTTTCATTTTCTAAGCTCATGTCTACTGAGACAGGATCAATCTTATCTCTTTCTTTGATGCCATGTCTGTCTTGTTTAGCATCACTTATTTGATCTTTCTGCAGTTGGGTTTCTTCTTCAAACCCTCCCTCTTTTATCAGTTCTTCATTGGCCTCACCAATGTCGTAAGCTCCGCATGTTTCTCTTGCAGCAACATTGGAAAGTGAGGGTGATGCCAAAAAGTTTTCACCTTCAGAAGTATTAATGTTGCCTTCAAAAATGGGACTCACAGTTTCATTCTTACCATTTGGTGCTGCTTCGAAGTCTTCTATTTTTGTGGATTTCCTGATAATCTCATCTGGTGTGTCAAGCCCACCTTCAACTTTCTGCAGTTCCCCTAAAGAAGATCCATGGATAGTTGTGTCAAGTTGACTACTGCTCAACTTTCTGGATTCTCTTTCTGTTTTCTGCGCAGAAGAAGATTTAAGAATGCTTACAACAACAAAAGATATTGTATCAAGGAAACTAGACCATCTACAGCACCAGTAAGAAGTGATCTATTACGGGTTTAAGGGGTTAGAAGAGCCAGGGGCAGATAAAAAAGTATGTGGGTTGAAGTAGTAAGAGATGATTTAAGGGCTCACAGTTTTAACAATGGATGTGACACCGAACAAAATGGAGTGGATGATCAGATTCATGCAATCTTACCCCATATAGTTGGGACAAGATTTAGATGATGATGAAAGAAAACAGAAATATGAACTTTAGATTCTAGTCATGATTTTCTTGTAACACCATAGGCATAAAGAGAGTCTTGGTTATATACACCATAAGGACCGAGTGAACCATCAAGTAACATTATACCGTGTTTTGAATAAAACCACAACCTCCATAAAGTCTTATATATAGCATATAAATTGTTAAGGGTAAAGGGTTACAGTTACTCAATTCCTGTTCTCTCGCATATTCAACCACTAAATGCTGGATAGTATAAGCTATTATACCACATCCCATTTTCTCCTTCAGTTTCAACCTGACGAAAAGAAGTATACATTCACACAGACAGAACATAAAGACAGACGGGAGTATGACACTCGTCCACACACAAATAAATACCAGGGGAGGAATGCAGTGGCCATTCCAGACCATCCATCAAGAATCAACCCAATGCCTTAACGTGTGCCAATATATAGGTTATTCAATCTTTCAAATTTTAATTCGAAAATTCTCAAAAAGAAAAGCTAATTTGGCACATGGTAAGGGCTAAGGTTCAAAGTATCAACACGTATCGGTCCGTATTGACTGATACGTATCATTCCGGGACTCCTCCTATACGCCCCTATAGTGGGTGTATCGGGGTCTGATTGGTTCAGGGGGTGGAGGAGCCCTAAACCGGCCCCCCTGAACCGGTTGCGGACAAAAAAAAAACACCAAAAAGTAGTACTGATTCACCCGATATACCCCTACCAGCATATCGGGCATATTGATATTTTGAACCTTGGTAAGGGCATTTGTGCTGGAAATTGCCTCACAATGGAGGGTGGAGGGTCTTAACATGCAAGGCTTTCTGGGTCCCCAATATGCTACCAAATTTTAGATTATTAGGTTGCTTGGTTTTGTATAAACGGCTCAACTAGCTAACAAAAGCAAAGAAGGTTTTACCCATGCTGGTCGTGGATATAGGGTCATGAGAGCGGATGGGTTGGAATATACAAATTTCTATATATACATAATTGTAACGTGCACGTAGGTGTGTAGGTTTTCTTTTTTTGATAAGTTGGTGGTCTATAGTTTGGATGGTTGTATGTAGGGGTGTTAATTGGACTGGATTTGGTTCAATCTAATCCAGTCGAATGTGAGTCCATTATAAATGGACAGGTCCAGTCCAATCCAATCCAATGAATATTTTGGATCATTTTGGATCATTTTGGACTGGTTCAATTCAATATCTGGACCGTTTAATCTGTTCAAATTTGTTTTGATTTAGATTGGTTTCAACCCAAACCTGGTCCATTAACACGTATATTCTTATCTTATATCAATGAATCGCATATTGGCTTAATCCAATCCAATCCAATCTAAATTTATTATGGATGGACCAGGTCCAATCCAATCTAATAAATATTTTGGACTGTCTTGTTGGTTCATCCAATCCGTCCAAATTGATTTTGGACTGGACGGGGTCCAATCCAAAACTGGTCCATTTACACCCTTAGTTGTATATTGTATTATTTGAGGAAGAGAATGAAGGGTGAAAGATGTGCAAAACTTGGGTGATGGAATCTAAAGGAGAAAAATGCAAATTGAGTACATGTTGACAGAGAAAGGAAAACAAAGTATGGACTTTTGGCGAAAAATCAATGCATTATTACATTGAGATGATGGGTATATACAAGAGTAAAGAAAGTGGTAATTGGAAAATATACAGAAAAAGATAAATCATCTTAAGGTAAATGGAGTTCAGAAAGTCACTAGCAACAGTGGGTCTAGTGCATGGGTTTCCGGGGAAGGTTTGAAACAATGAATTTAGAAAGATGTAAGAAGTATTAGGAATTTAACAAAGCAACAAACAAAGCTATGCTTGACATACTATATGACCTTTACTATAATTGGGTGAAACATTATATATATTATTAATTTATTATATTATATAATGGCTTTAGTGGAAAGACCCTTTTTAATTTGTATGCTGTTCTTCATGAATAAAAGTTACCTATATATATATATCATCAAGTTTGTTTTATTACAATGAATGAATAAAAGTTACATATATATATATATATATCATCAAGTTTGTTTTATTACAATCCAAATTGAATTGGATATCTGATAAAATATTTGAATTCAAACTCAAATCATAATTTTGGAAATCCGACAAATTTTTATCAAATTCAAATTGGTCAGGTTTCTTATCGAATCATATTGGATATACCTTTACCGAATTCGATATGATCCATTTGCAACCCTAGCCTATATACTAAAATAAAAGAAACAGAATAGACCCAAGGTTCAAAATTTTGACACAATATGCCCCGCATTAAGCATATAGTATCATATCACTGACCTGTTAATACATAAAATTTAGATGCTTTGGGGTCAAGACCCATTTCAGGGGGTAAGTAGGCCTTAGACCAAACCTTCTGAAAAAGGTTTTGGGAAAAAAGATAATAGCATTAAGTGTGAGGTTCAAAGTACCAATACACCCCTTCTGCCTTATTGGGTGTATCAATACTTTGAACCTTGAATAGATGAAGTGAAGTTATGTCCTTTTTATTCTTTTCGGAATCTCAAAGTGTGAGGAATTTAGGGAAATAGGAAAATAATTCCTCATGTCATTTGTTTTTCTATATTATATTTTCTATATTTTATCTATTTTTATTATTTAATTATAACATCATGAATTCAAACATTTGATCTATACCTGTGGTTGAACTACTGACCTACCACTAAAATACTCTATTCACAAGGTCACTGTCTAACAACTCCTACCTGGGAAAGCAAAGCTCCATTCTAGGTATTTTAGGGTCCGTTTGGTTTGCAGGAATAGGGGTCTGGAATCGGAATCGGAATGGGTTATTCCGATTCCAACTGTTTGGTTGGGCGGAATCGGAATCCCATTCCCATTCCTGCTGGAATGACATTCCCCCATTTGAGGGAATGGCCATTCCCTACCTCTCCTTTGGGAATGGAATCTCATTCCTGCTGATTTTAATTCCCATTCCCATTACTGTTTAAACCAAACAGATTATGGGAATGGACAATTCCAATTTCAATTCTGAAGGATTTCGATTCCAATTTCACTTACGAATCAAACGGACCCTAATTCATCCAAGCGGCTGAAATCAATGTTTCAAAAAATGATTTGAAATTGTAACCATTTTTCCTCTAGATCGGTGGAGGGTCGGCAGTTCAACCAATTTGGTCAAATGAGTTCACTTGTGATAACATAAATCAAATGATAAAAATATAAAATAGAAAAAATGCAAAAAAGAGAAAAACTTGTAGAAAAAATATGTTTCTAATAAATAAGTCAAGATAAAAGAAAATTATTATCCAATCCATGAGTGGGTCAAATGATTAAATGATTCAACTGGCTGGGTCACCAAGTCAATGACCGAATCAACAATGTTAAATAAACAATTCGAGGGCTAAATGGGCCCGAAAACCTGGCAAGGTGATGAATCAATTGGTCTGACCATCCAGTTCAACCGTGGATTGAAAACATTGGCTATCAAACAGGAGAGATCTTCTCAGATAAACCCTATGATCAATACTGAAAAACAAGAACACTTGATGGTTTCTTTGGTATAATATCGTATTATCTGTTTTTGCTCTGGTTCAGACCCACATTAAGTCCACACATAATGCAAGTTGGGTCCGAGGCAAACAATCCCTAGGCTTTGCCAGACTAAAATTGTATTTAATTATATAATATATCTATCCATATTATTAAAATAGATACTTGCCTTGGTTTTGGTGCAAGTCATAAGAGTTAAATGCAAATACCATATAATATGGTTAATACTTTTTTGCACACTTATGCATAGTACATGCTCTTACACTAACATATTATAATATCATACATGCCAAGGAATCATCCATGCACCTAAAAGCTTAAGCTGTTCAGTGAAAACCTTGAATATGCTTTTATACTATAATGTGTCCCTTCACATAAAAGCCTATTAGGCTTGAAATGTTGACAAATACAAACCCATTGGTACTTTATTCTGAAAATTAATTAATTATAATAGGGGTGATGAGAATCAAACACCATAATAATTAGATCATTTTGTCAAATAAGCTCTAATACCATGTCAAAAAACCATTTAACCTAAAAGCTTAAGCTGTTAGATGAGATTTTTGAATAGATTTTTATTGTCTAACATATATGATCAATCCTATTCCATACCCACAAGACTACAACTGATTACCCCTAAACCAGGTGAAGGCAGGACTCAATCATGATCTCCAACAGAGAGTTACCAACTGAGCCAGTTGGCACCTTCCCCGTTAGCTTAGTTGGACAAACAAAGTCCCGAAACAGGAGTCTGTAGTAATAAAAAAGAAAAGAAACAAGGGGTTTTTATAGTTCAGTCCATCTCAGAAATCTGACTTCCACTGTATAGGATGTAGTTTATTAGGGGGTCTACTAATAGACTAGAAGGGGGTTGCAATTTCAGATTTCTGACGAGGTGGATTGCAGTCCAATTATCCCAATAAACAAATGAAAGGTTAATTACGGTCTATTAATTGGATTGCTTTATGCCTAGCAAAGAATTAAAAGAAAAAGGATTGCTTTATAGGAAAAGACTTAAAAATCTCAACCACCTATATGGTGGGCCCTACTTGCATGTGCACTAACGATACAACACTATGTTGTTGGTAGAGTGCTGCCTCAATGGTCCACCTGATATTTCCTCAATCTTATATTAATTTCATTGAAAAGTTATTTCTAGTTGGGTATTAAAACTGTTTTATATTAAACACTAGGAAGTGTAGCTCATTTTTGTATCTAAGGTTCATTTGTATCAAGGAATTGAAGTGATAAAAAAGATGGCTCTCGTTTTCTCCTCAAAAAGCAAGAGAGAAGAACAGGAAAACCAATGACAGTATGTTTATAGTAAATCAGCGTAAATTCAAAAATCCTTATGCTAATAATAAGAACAAAGCTCAAGAGGGTTAGGAAAAATTATAAACAAAATGAACTAAACCTTTTTTCTTTCAGAAATCAGAATAAGATGTATACTAAAAGCAACTATAAATATTTCGTTGCAATTAAATGATCGTAAAATGCAAAAAAGTAAAAAAAAAAAAAACCTTCATTTTCCTTTTATTTCATTCATATTGGTTCTTATTCTGAGTTTGACCGAAAAGAAACCAGAAAAGGAGAACATTCTTTATAGTTATTTAGCTGAAGGCAAAACAAAGTGGGTATTTGTCTTGGATTTCTTGCTCTCCTGAAAATTCAGAATCAGACTAGACTTGATCTTCATAGTTGTGCAAATTTGGTGTCTTATTTACAGTTTTTTCCTGAAGATTCCTACCTGTCTCAACAAACCAGAGGGTTATAGATCATGCTATTTGTTGCAGTTTTTCATGAACTCGGTATCTCAGAAGCCAACTTTAAGATTAAGATTGGGTGAGTTCTTCAAGCAGACAACTTTAAATCTAAAGCCAAGTAATTCATCTGAAGCAACTTCTTATCCTCTTATCGTACAGAGTATGTGATACAGTAAAGTTCAAGTTTCAAAAGAGAGAACAAGCAAAGAAGAAAACAAATTAAATGATCATAGCTTACCGTTACAGATACGGATTCCGATGATATTTCAGATCCTGTTGCCATTGTTCATGCAGTAGGACTGGTTCAGATGAAGGTGGGATTGAAAGCGAACCTCGAAAACGAGCTTACTGTGTAAGATACTTCATTTTCCTGGTGCTGAAAAGATCTTGCAACTATAACTGGAGAGGCTTTGAAATTCTGAACCTGTTAGCCATGGTGTTGGAAATAGTGTTGGATGGGTGTAATATTGCGAAAGTAGGCATGAAGTGACAAAATGCCACGTTATTTTTCCATTATTTTGAGTATTTGCCAGATGAGCAATGGTCCTACTGAGCTGATTGATCAGTCATATTGCTATGATCATGTTGGTTGATACAACTTCCATTGAAATCTTGAAATTAGAAATAGAAAGAAACAATTAGAGATTACTCTTGGACTAAAACTCTTCTTCTTCACCCATTTGCTGTACAACAGCCCATGGTGACCCAACTTTTGTCAGGGGCAATAGAATCTCTGGGCTGTTGGGCCCTTTCTAGGATTATAAAAAAGCCTGTGAGATGTTATTTTATTTGGAAATTACAATTGTAGCTCCCACAGACAAAAGACAGCACACCCCTGAGAATGGGTGGTTCTGAATTCTGATACAATTCCCCTGAACTGAAAATACAGTTTGCTCGTCTTTCATACTTTAGTTTAATTTTCAACATGGGCATTTCTGTCCTTTTCAATTCATTCAGTGGGCTTAAACTCATTTGGACCTCTAATGGCTATTCTGTGTTATCTCTAAAAATATTCATAATTAGGTACCATAGGAAGCTAAATTATCATTGATGCCATGAATTTAAAAACAATTAAAATAATAAATAAAGAAGAAGGGGAGAGAAACGAAAAGAAAACAATTAGTGTTTTGTTGTAACGATCAGAATTTTTGTTTTTAGTTTCTAATGAATACAAATGTTTTGTTCTTAGATGATGACCTGATAATGATAATGATAGTTAATGAATTGGAAGCTGAAGGCATCTAAATTCAGTTCATTTTGAGAATCTTCCAATAAAAAATATTATAAAATAGTCAAAATTGGCCTCTGGAAATGGCCCCACCATTCAAGCCCCCAGGAATTCTCTCCGTTAATATAATTTTCAACTGGGGCAGCGGCACCAAATGTTCATTTTTATTATTGCTCCAGGTTTAATAATAAGAGGAAGGAAAAGTATTCAAAACCTCCCCTGACTTTAGTGAACTTCCCACAATTTTTAGATACCTCCCAATAATTCCATTTTTAGAAATTTAAATCTTCATGTGGCCTCATAAAACAGGTGGTGCACCTGATCTAGAAATAATTAATTTCTGAGGCCTCGTTTGTTTGCAGTGTAAACGATTTGGGTGCAAATTTTGATTTCTTTTTGTTTTGAATTTTTACCTTTTTTTTTGGTTTGTGAACGCAAATATAAAAGCAAATCAGAATTTGCATTTTTCTCTTTTGCACTATCATGCATTAATTTGTATTAGTGCGAATGAAATTGCACTGCAAATAATATCTCAAAATCTAAATATTGAACTAGGCCTTCTATGCAGTTGCAAAATTAAACTTGTAAAACGGACATTAGTTGATTGTTTTGAGTATTTATCAAGATATTTATATATGAAGAATACACATTCGATCATAGGTAGAGCTAGTCGTACGTAGCATGGTTTTTAAAACCAGACCAGATTGGATGGTCGGACTGGAAAAATCGGGAACCTGTCACTTGATCGGTTCCATTCTTTCCCAAAACCACTTTTCTTTCAAAACTGTTGATTTTGATCAGCAAACCGCTAAACCAGCTGGTTAACTGTTTGAACCGATAACCGGACCTCTGACCGATTCAGTTTTAAAAACCATAATACGTAGTACTGCATCTTCCATTTATCATTTTTTGAGAAAATGTCTCTGAGACTCAGAGGGTGGTCGTTGAAATTTGAAAGCATCACATGCCATGCACAAAAGTATACAGCTAATGAGTCTGAATCACCTACCAATAAAATGCTTTTCAAAACCCTTCCAACATCATCTGGTACCACACATTTCATACATGAGACGTGAGTGCAAAATCATGTTGGTAGGTTATTGGAATGTTGTTTTGTTGGCAGGAGATCCCAATTCACAACTACTTATGTGGCCAGTCTAGACTAGAAAAGATGTTGGAACTGGTAGGTTGATCTGGATTGGAAGGTCAAGTGGGGTTTTCTGGGTGGTCCGTCAAGAAAATATTTTCCCCCTTCCAATTTCCCAATCAACTTTTCGGTAAAAGCTGTACTCCTTGAAGATTCACCCAGGAAAATATCGGATTTCTTGTTTTTCCCTATATCACTCAAATGTCAGTCACAATCCTTATCCATGCTATAGCTATTAGCTGTCCAACCAGTACATACATTTATCTTTAGACTGTTAGGTGACCCCACTCTCTTTGATGGACTGCTGCTCCATTTGTAAGCTAGGGTAGTGATTCAATATGGATGGATCCACACGTAAAGGAAAATGCAATATACAGTTAAGGGTGTCAATGGAACAGTTTTGGACTGGATCCCATCCTGTCCAAAATCAATTTGGATGGATTGGACGGATCAAAAAGACAGTGTGGATTGGATCAATGCAGTCCAAAATATTTATTAGTTTGGATTGGACCTGATTCATCCATAATAAATTTATATTGAATTTGGTGGGATTAAGCCAATATCTGATCCATTGATATAAGATAAAAATATAGGTATCAATAGACCGAACTTGTTTAAAATGAATTTGAATAGTCCAAACATTAAAATTAGACCAATCTAAAATGATCCAAATTATTCATTAGATTGGATTAGACCTGATCCATTTATAATGAACTCACATTGGACTGGATTGGATTGGACCAATCGAAAGCCCTATATACAGTATAGGGGTGCAACCGTGCAAGCTGGTGCTGGATAAGGTGTTGATCATATAAGCTACAGTTCAGTCGGAGCTTCCTACCCCAACCCAGCCTTCAAACCAACAAAATCAACTTTCAGGTTCAGGTTGGCCTAGCTAATTTCTTCAATTCTTACACTGAGAGTTAATACCTAGCAGAAGTCATTTACAAAGACTAGTTTCTTCTTTTACTTTTTTGTTTGTACATACAAATAGGAACTACAATCAAAACGGCCCATCTTTTTGCATATATCTCATGTAAGGGCCGTCTATCACTGCATTATGATATTTTTTCTCGCACTCCTCATATAAGATTGTTCTAATTAATACAAAAAAAAAAAACCTAAAATTGAATTGAACTCATGTTTACAATCCTAACTCCGGTAATACCATAAAAAAAAAAAAAAAAAATAGAGACCATACACTATAAGTCAACATCCCAAGAATGAATTTTCTTTTAATACGTCACGAAAAAAAGGGAGGAAATATGTATCCTTGTTAGGTTTGGATTTTGAAAAGAATAATATTTTCCATCATAAAGTATATATCAGAATTGATGGAATAGGCTGCACTAATTTGTATAAAATGCGCAGGATTAACAATCAAAATTGCCGACCAAAACTTTATCTTCTTGTCCTCATTCGCCGCCCTGGCGTGGTGAAGTGACCTCCATCCCAACTTGGTTTTGATTCAAACTTCACTTTTTTTTTTCAAGTATATTATAATTGAAGAGGAGAACGTACGAAACCAAGGAAACATCGAGCCTCACCTTTTGGTTTCGATCAGTTTTAGTGACGCCGAATTATGAAAAAGGTTCTTCCCATAAATTACTGTTCGTCATCTCTTAACCAACATTAATCAGATATTGTTATGAAAAGGCTTCAATTAGAGGTCATTGAAAATGATAAGAATATGGATTTCGAAAAAGATTGAACTCATTATAATACCCAAGTATAGGATTGTTAATGGAACTTATATCGGTCCAATCCGATCTGGTTTAATACGAGTCCATTACAAATGTATTAATTAGTTCAATCCAATTCAATGAATATTTTGGATCAGTCCATCAATTCAATATCAGTTCATTAATTTAGATTGGTTCCAACCGAAACTAATTCATTATTGACATCTGTATTCTTATCTTTTATTAAAGGATCGGCTACTGGTTCAATTCGACCTAAAGTCAATATAAATGTATTACGGATGGATTAGGTCCAATCCAATATATACTTTGGAACATTAAGTCTGGATTGGTCCAATTCAATATATCTTATTGGTCCATCCAATCCATCCAAATTGGTTTTGATTTGGACGGGTCCAATCCACTGGTCCATTGACACCCCATCCAAGTGGAATTTCAAGTTCATTAATTTGTTTAAAGTATTGGAGGACACAAATCAAACTTTCTCATGAAAACCTCCATTTGATTCAGTCTAAACCAAGCTTTAACCCAAGTTTATGTGACTTGTATCCAATATCTGAATTCATTAGCTAATCAAAATCAAGCTTGAGCCCAATGAAGCTTAGTTTATAAATTCACTCAAAGTAAACTCGAATATATGAGCTTTTACGTTAAGCCGAATTTCAGCTCATATTTTTAGTTTAAATCGAGCTTGAATTTGAATTCAAACCTCATATTTTTCTATTGATGTGAGCTTTATATTCTTGGTATTTCATGATACTCACCATTATAATCCCCCAAAGTCGGTGGTTTGCGGGAATTGAATCCATATCAATATCAATGCTAGAGCGAACAAGCTAACATACCAATTGAGCCACCCCTCAATTGATAATTGGTGACTCAATAGATATTGAGCCGATTCTGAATAATGGCTTAAATCCACCTCAAACGTAAAATACAAGAAAAGAGAAAAAAAAATTAGGCACTTAATCTAAAAAGTATGTTTGTTTCTACGTAAAACTTGCATAAAGCAAAGTTAGTTTTGAGCGTGAAAACGTCAAAATATAATCGAAATTTTCCAGAACGAAAAATAAAAAAACAAAAATTTATTCATAATTTTGGAGCTATCATTATCTGGTATCCTAAAATAAAATGCAGAAACATGTGAAAGAGGAGGGGGGGGGGGGGGGGGTGATGAGTTGTCACTGACCAAAACAGAGAGGGAGACATGTGGAAACGGAGAATGACAACCTAAGATATCATTGTCATCCACCAAATCCAAGTCAAGAGTCAACACCGCAATCCCCAAGATGCTTCAAAGCTTACCTGGCACCTCATCACCTCCTCTTTTCTTTAGCTGGACCAGGAGCCGCCCATCCAACCCCACCTCTCTCTCTCTCTCTCTCAATATCCTTGTTGTTTGATTCCACAACAGACAACACCTTTACTTCAAGGATCACAAATCTTCCGTTTTTGCTATGTTTCCGTCGTTTGCATTTGTCTTCTTTTCTCGGTAGTCGTTAGTTGAAGTTAAGCCGGAACTTGGTGTCTCTAGAATTGAATCCTATGGCTAGGGCTAGCACCTAATCCTCACCCTTCAAGGCTTCAACGATTACGTCTCTCTCTCTTCCACGTAATTTCCTTCATAAAAGGGTTATCTGCCTGTATGAGTTTAGTTCTGGCTCTGGCTCTAATCCAGATTCCAGAAGTTAACATTGTTTTCTTCAAAGCATGTTTTCAATCTTTGTTCAACAAAATCTACAAACAATTACAGAGAGAAGTAGAAAAAATTCATTAATTGATCAGGATGAAGTATTGAGACACGCTTTTCTTTTACATTAATTAATAGCCTTCTATTCAGCCCAACCCAGCCCAGCCCAATCCCAACCAATGTTTCTCTCTATATCTCTGGGGACCCCGACGGCCCGACCCTGATATAATCATTACTTTCACATGAATGATACAGAGGGTCGGAGAAGAAAATGACAATATAAATCAAGCCCAGTTCTGACGCTGCATTCTTACCATATTTTGTCTTTAATCTTAGACTGTTTATAAAACGTGACAATAGATCTTGATGAATCTTGGAAGTTTCAGTGATTGACACATTTATGAACCCTCCTCCTATCCTTCATGTCTATACATACATATATGGAACAGTCTATCTACTCTCAAATATCATCAATACTCTAAACAAGTCCAACCGGTATAGGAATAGGAGGCTGTGGGCTGCCCACAAGGGACCCAACTGTTCCCTCAGGCACCGTTTCTCTCTATTCAGTTTCAGAGACCAAGTCCCAGTCAAAAGCTTTTGCCATGTCTTTAGGGCTGCTTTCTCTGATTTTAGACTTTGAATGATAATACCACAAAGTTGGTTGATGTAGACTGGGTAAGTGAATATACAAAGCGAAAGAATGGCTGAAGCTGAACCATGCATGTCTCAGTATATATTAGGGGGGTCTTGACTGAGAGAGTAAAAAGGCAGGCCCAGCCGGACCGGACTGATCCCACTAGGAAAATTTGTGACGACTGTGAGCTAATTAAAAATGTTCACAACTTGTTGTAGATGTGGTAAGCCATTCATCTTTCTTCTGGTCATCATTTTTCCTTTTGACTGATGATGATCAGGGAAAAAACACTACTCTCACTCATTAACCCCTGAGGACCCCTCACTCCATCCCTCTCTCTGTGTTTCATCAATCAATTCATGGTCATAGGGCTCAATTGTTTAGAGAAAAACAGTAAAGAAATTGTAAACCTTTTTAAACTTTCGAGAGCCAAAAAGAGATGAACTCCATGACAATTGACCACAGCCAACAGGTGGAGGTGTCCGACTGGGTCCATGTATGTCCAAAGCCGAACTCATCACATGCATTGATCCTGGGTCTTTGATGGGTCTCTGCCTCTGAGGCCCGATTTTGCTGGTTTTCCCTTCTACAAAATTGGAGAATGACAAATCGTACATTTGTTGCCTACGGCCTACATCAATGGACTTGAATTGGATCTAATGTTGGTCGAATCCAATGTTTGTGGATCCAGACCCTATTAGAAATGGGTCTGTCCCTTGTGAAATGGGTACAGGGGAGGGAAGTTGATAATTCTCTCATTAATAAGACTTTCAAATGAATTCTGCATGTATTCACAGTGAGCATACTTTGCCATCAGATTCATGGACATGGCCATATCAGCCGATATCAATCCTTTCTTTTGGGGTGGTTTTCACAATGCATAGACGACACCACTAAACCCTGATTTCCCCTTTTATATATGTAATGCCAAAGTAAAGGCTAAAGCACCTTGTTTTCACCAAATAAAAAGACTGATAAAGCAGCTTATCTAAAGCAAAAGTTCAATTTTGCAACTTGCAAATAGCAACGCTTTGTGAAATGCGAAGCAACTAACCTTCTTTTTTTCTTTTTTCTGTTGTTTTAAGTAGTCATGGGTTAGCTTGGATTGAACAAAGCTTGTATTACTTTGTGTAAAACTTTGTTGACTGATCCCACACATGTTTGTTATTCTGAATCTTCTCTTGCATCTACGATTCATTTGACTGAAACATATAGGGCTGTGAGAATGGGGTGGGCCGGCCGGGTGAGAAAGTGTCCATCGGGTTGATGAAAACAAGGTGAAGATTATGCGATACAGGGTCGAAATTTGAGGGAAACAACAACCCATGGATTAGATGGTACTGACCTGCCTCTGTTGGACTGTGTTACCCAAGAACAAATAATGGAGACCATATCTTAATTTATCATAGATTAAATATGCATTAGGCCTGGCCTCAATAATTGACTTGTTTTATTTATTTTTTGGTAAATCCCAATAATTGACTCGTGGTCCCTCTCAACAAGGTTTGTATTTGGAATCAAAATGTTGACATTGACAGTGACAGTGACAGAATTAATTGGCCCCTTTCTACATTATAATAGCATAAAAGAGAAATACAATCAGGATTCAGGAAAAAGGTTTAATTGTTTGTAGATTTGATCCAAAAGAAAGGTTTGATTTGCATGCTCAAATATAATAGAAGCAAGCAATTTATGTTGTTTAGACTTCAAACAGATAGATTAAAGTAAGCCCTTTTATAGTTATGGTAAATATAAGTAATAAAAGTTATAGGAACCCTTTTTATTTTCAGTGTTTTTTTAGAAAAGATAGAGATACAAGGGGCTGTTTAGGCTTACACAGGAAGAGCTATTAATGGTAATAGTAATACAAGGGGCTTCTGGGTTAAACAGGAAGAACTAGAAATAGTAAATAATAATACAGAGGGCTCTCTTGGCTTTACTCAGAGAGAGAGAGAGAGAGAGAGGGAATTCAAAATTGAATCACAAAAATTTTCACTTTGTATACCCTCCATTCTTTCGGGTTGAAAGTTTAGGCACAGTAGCCCTCTTACATGGGACAAAGAGAGGAATTATTTTCACAGTTATTTTATTTGTAAGGAATTGGGGAAATTTTAAGGGCTGTTGTGTACTTGGAAATGTCAATGAAGGATTCAATGCATCTTCCAGTCTAAGTTGTTGGGTTCTTTGGATTTAGAATATTATTAGAAAAATCCCACTTTCTACAACAAAAGGGTTTCCTTTCCTTTTACACAAGGGAAGGAGGTTCTGAGCTCAAGCTTTTCCACATGAGAAATCAGAACCTGATGTAATGAAGAGATGAATGAATACTTTTGGGTTGGGGCCTCCACCTAGATTAATAAGATTGCCCTAGTATTATTCCCTTTCCCTTCTTTTCATTAGGGGAATGGAATTATTCGTTGACCCTTCTTTTTATTCCAAAATTTGGTTATGAGTTCATACTTTTTGGGGCCCACATGATGAAACTCGCCACGTAAGCAGGTGGGAAATGCGCCAAACACGTGGAGCTTTTGGGCCCACCGCCAAAGCTGGCCATGGATTGTACCAAACTGGATCCTTTGATGATTGTCACAATGAAAAAGCCTGCCCTTTTCTATCATTCTACTGAGATTCTTTCTTTTGCTCTCTCTCTCTCTCTAACGTATTCCCACGTGCCAACTAGCAGAAAATCGAGCACAAAAAGAAGGACAAAAAGGGAAATACGTAGCCAATAGGAGGAGAAAATCGTAAAGCAAACATGAAAGTGAGGGAGGGAAAAACAACCGTTGATAAAACCGTGCAACAAAAAAATTTTGGCGCCAAAAACTCGAATCAATTGCATTAGTTTCCGCTGCCCACGGTCAGCAAGCAAATTTTCACGGGCAGCTTCACCTCACCTCTCGAGTATCGTCTTTCTTTTTTTAGTTCTTATGTTATGTTATAATGGCTTCGTCTTTCTTTGCTTAGGTCACGGGTTTCCTCCGGTTTTCCTCTCCCCTCTTTTGCCACTATATATCTCTCTCCCTCTGGCTCTTTCTCTTTCCTCTTATTTAGTTATTAGAACACGATTTCCCCCCTCATTCAAAGCCCTCATTCCTTTCTCGTGCTCCTCTTTCTCTTCTTCTCTGAGTCTGAAATTCTCAAAAGAGTATCAGAGAGATAAAGGGAGGAGGCCTTTTGTTTCTCTCCCTTTTACTTCAGTGCTCAGACTTAAGTTCCTCTTGCTGGCTTCTGCTGATCTTTTAGACAAAACCCGTATTTCTTTCCATTTGGGTTTGCTCTGTTCTTCTCTTTTTTTTTTTTTTTTCTTGTATTGGGTACTGGGTAGAAGAGGAGTACTTCCTCTTCCTTCAAGGTTAAGGTTTCTTCTCTGTTTCCTCTGTTTTAGTTCCAAAAGAAATCTGTTTTCTCTCTGGTAGGAGATGGGGTTCCCAGAAAAGTCACACGTAGATGGAGAGTCAGAAGGCAAGAAATGGGTCACTGCTGGAATTTCATTGCGAACTCCGTTAAGGCCAATAAATACGAACCCGAGGGAGGACAACGACGAAGAGGAATGTTCGACAACACCGACGGCCTCTGAAGCGAGGATACCAGAGAGGTTGCCATGCCCGCCGGCTCCAAGGAAGCGTAGGCCTTCTTCAAAATGCCATTTTAACGGCGTTAGGGAGTTCTTTACCCCGCCAGACCTAGAATCTGTATTTATGCGCCATGCCCAGAAAGCCAAGTGAGTTTCGTTCAAGGGAGGAAAGGTCCGCCCTTATTGTTGTTGTTCCTTTTCTTCTTCATTCTTCCCTCTTTTGCAATCTCTTCTCTATTCTTCATGGCAGAGGGAAGTTGATGTACAGAAGCTATGATATATGAAATGCTTTTAAGTTTTGGCTCACGAGGTTCCAATGCAGAGTGTATATTTGAGTTGGGACCAATGGTTCAAGCATGGTGAAAAGCTGCAGACTCTCTATAGAGAGAGCAGTATGCACACAACTATCTGCCACTGCAAAACTATGTTTGTATTTGTATGTTGGAAATTTAGAATGGGGTCTTGTAGCATTTGCTTAATATTTCTTTGAAGCTTATTACAGAAATTCTTCTTTCTCTCTCTCTCTCTCTTGTCTGCATGTGCTGTGCTCTTCTAAGCAAAGCACAAGAGAAACTTTCCCTAATAAATGAAAACCCTACTAGGAAAAAGGAAATGCAGGTCGATATTCATCTAAGTAAGCTTCTAGGGTGGCCAATCATAGACATCTGATAAGTAAATAAACTAAATTTTTTCCATGGCTGAGATGCTGCACTGATGCTTGAAATCTAATTGACTGAGACAAATCATAAACCATCTAATGCCCCGTACCTTTAATGCTCTGGTCTAATCTCAGTCATATTAATGTCCCACACTCACATGTGTGCCCCACTCACATGATATACATCACACCTCGGACTCTATGGTATGGGAAGGTTCTTTGTGTAATTATCCGGGCAGTAATAAAAGACAAACATATATGAAGTAAGTAGATTAGAATCCAATGCCAGCGAAAGGATTGTATGGTACCATTTCAAACTAGTGTTTTAGACCATTTGATGACAATGACACATGTAAGAATGACTGATTTTATAAAAAAAAAAAAAATTGGGGCAGTTTAGAATCAGACTAAGGTACGTTGATTATATACTAAAGCACTCATTTGCTTATAATGGAGTTCAGTAGACAGGATAAATATATTGTGTTCAATCAATCAAAGCCTTTGTTTTTAACTTAAAAGTGACCAGGGGGAGTTCACCTAATCTAGGGCTTTTTTTAAAATAATAAACAAAGATATCTAGGGATCAGAGCCAAAGATGAAAGCATGTTACAAATCTCATCCAACAAAGATTACAAGCCCCACTTGGCAGGTAATTGATAGCCAGCAGTGATTAATTTAATGTTGTAATTTGTCCTTTCATAATTCATATAGTAAATAGATAGATACATGGGGCAGTTCCTACTTTTCCTTGTGGAACTTATCTACATGTTTTCGAATTTCAATTTCTACCTCCTTTCCCATCTTTCTCGTTCTTATCCAAAGGTAACATGTAAAGAAGACACTGAAGAAAAAGAAAACATTAATGCTATGTTTGGTTTGAAGGAAAGAGTAGGGAAAGGAAGGGAAACCTTTACAAATCTTGTATAGGTTTCCCTGTTCCCTACTCTTTCCTTCAAACCAAACATAGCGTAAAAGGACCAAGTCCAAGCCTACATCTAAAGCTAACTCTGAATTTTGTGGTCTGAACCCAGAGACAGGAATTGACATATAAAGTTTACATTGTTTGTCTTAAGTTAACCACTTATTTCCTCAGCCACTGTATGTCTGTATCCTCTCTGAATTGCATCAGATTATGGATCCAATTCCGCTTAATGGTAGGGACCAGAGAAGGAATTGAACGAAGCATAAAGACTGTAGTCTAGCTCTTAAGTGGAAAAATCTTGTACAATTGAAGGATGATTCAAAACTGTCTTTTCTTTTCTATCGTTATCAGTACAGAAACAAGGCTGTTGAGTCTTTTTGTAGACATACTGCTAGCAACTATAATACAAGTTCGTATTGGTTAAAGGTTCTCTGTAAATGTTTATCAACCATTTCACCATCTGAACCCGGGGGAAATTCAAGTTAGATAAAGATGCACGACTCTCTTGTCTTGTTTGAAGAATTTGAGATTAGTTTGTTTGTGAGACCAGACCATTCAAATTAAATAAAGCCAATGTGAAAGCTACCCTATATTTGTACTGCTATGGGCCAATCCTAGTCAATGTAGCAAGCTTTGAAATACCAATCAAAATCCACCACCCTAAACAAACCTTATTTATCTCCGTCAAGGCCTCAAGGGTATTATGTTCCATGCCACCACGTCATTGCGCTTATCAGCTTTGGCAACTTTCTGATCGTAAACGAGAACAAGTGAAGCAAGAGATTAATGCAGAGACTCCTGCTGTATGTGCATAGTTGTCCCAGTACCATTTTTCATGTTTTAATCAAGGCATTGTTGAAGGTTTTAGATAGATAATGCACTAAGAACAGGTGACCGACCTTAACCATTATTTGCTGTTACACTGCCTGTTATAATAGTGGATGATCATCTTTGTTTTCAAAATTTTAGAATATTATACTGTTGCAATGTGAAGTACTAATAGACATCACCTACATTTATGCTCACAAAGATAATAAATTTAAGAGGTCAATTAGGGAGCATTCACTAATATTGGCTGCATCAACGTTTTTGAACCGCCGTTGACTCAGACGGTCGAACCGTTCGGCCCGGGAATCGTCCAGACAATCGGTTTCATTTTACCCAAAACCCGGAATCTGGTCAAAACCGTTGAAAAAGTCAACAAACCCTTGACCCAGGTGATCAAATTGTCGACCCGTTTAACGGTTTTTGACTTTTTTTTTTAATTTTAATTTTACTGTCAGAACAGGCCGTCCGTTCGAACCAAACAGTCGGACTGTTGACCCGGAAACCGATGCCCAAAACGGTTCCATTTTCGAGTCGTTTTTTAAAACATAGGGCTGCATGTTAAATCCAAATCTCAATCAATCATGTTAAAGTATGTTTACTTTTTATTAGTTCACATTTCAGTGTATTTTTGCATTAAACAAGATGTGCTCACCATCAAAACCAAACACATCTTTTGCTTTGCTGCAAGGTACAGTGGATGCACCGTGGATAATGGTGGCCACTCATCATTCATTACTTTTAGCACTCTACTTTGGGGGGAGAAGAGTTAAATAGAACACTAACATAATAACAGGTCACTGTTAACCAAGATATGAAGTGCAAAGCCAGCACAGAGAAATAGCATTCCATGATTCATGTGATTAGTATGTAGAGTAATGTCTGTCAATGCTGCTTTGACTTGAATCAAATTTTAACAGAAACTGAGACTAAGGATAAACCTATTAGAACAATCACACATGGGTGTCTGGGGAGGGAACATGACTTCCAAGTGACAAGCACATGAAAGGAACAAAGATTACAAGCCTCTTTTCCTTCTACAGGGGAGATAAAGGAGATAATTGAAGGATAAACAGATAGCAACCATGAATTGAGCCATTATCAAAGTTAAAAATAGATGCTAAACCCATGTCATGTGGGTTTCATTCAAAGTAGCTATCAACCACAAAGATTTAAGTATTTATGAGTTAACTAACACAGAATGATACAACAGAAACCATTAAGCATTATACTTCTACCTACGAACACAGCAATCATCAAGTCTTGTCCTAATAGATAATATAACTGAGATTATGTGGTGTTCTCCACTTCCAAGTTCCAAGTCCCAAAGTTATTTAAAGAGAGATAAGAGAGAGAGAGAGATGTATAAAAAATGAATATTTGATTGATATACTGACATTAGTAAAAGAGAATCCTATGCTATGCTTTTGTATATCTGTAGACAGCCATACAACACATACACATGGCCTGTAAACTGGAAAGGGAATCCTAAGGAGAAGATTCTCAATTCAAGCATCCCCAGACCCAGTGATAATATCCCAGCTTACCATCGTCCACGTCCACTGTCGACCTTTGCTCCAAAACCTTGGATGCATTTGGCCCTTTGCCCTTTGGGAATTTGGGATCCCCGCCCTAATACTGCTATTATTTGCCCGCCCTGCCCAGGCTGCCCGCCCCGCCTACCCCAGCTGCCCTGCCCACTTCTCATCTTTCGGCGGGAGAGGGAAAAAACGAATTTGGATTCTACTCGTTTTTGCGCCAAAATATAAGCCCGGGAAAACCGGTGCTTCCGAGTTCCGAGTTGCGACTTGCCACGCCCAACCCGTTCCGCCTCCGGGCTCCGGAGTCCGGACTATAATTAATGTATAAAAGTGTGTTACTCCTAGTCGTATAATGACTAAAATGCCCTTCACATCATCCCACTTTACATATGACTGACTATTTAAGGGCAGCCAGTTGACTGGAAAACCGGCCCGAACCTATACCCTTATTTGGAAGGTATCGGTCCCTCTCAAGATCCGTATTCAAAATACCCATATATAGGCTTTGAAACCGTTTTTTCACCTATATGTGAGTCTAGATTTGGATGAACGATGAATCTACTCCACATGAATGCCTTAAAATGATTAGAATATATATACACACACAAATCCCACAAATATATAAATAAAACTAAACTTGAGGTCGAAATTATTCTGAATGAGACATAAACACAAAAAAAGAAAGCCTATAATAACTTCACCAGTAATGTATCAACTCCCAATGCACTAATTGTCTTTACATCTTGGTTTACCCCAAAAAAAAAGGGTTAAATACTCTGCAACCCAATGCAGAATTCTGAATGACAGCCCCCCATAGTCTATCAGTACCCCTCTATAAATCACATCTTGCCCGTGAGTTTGGCATCAATTCACGGTCATGATGCATCCTCCTTGTACAGTGGGGCTATAAAATTCTGATCTAGACTGGTCAGTCATTCTCCCAAAAAATAAAAGATTTTACATTTAAAACCCACTCTTCAACAAACTTTTAGAACCAAGAGACAAGCTGTTCAATTTGAAAGAAAAGGCAGGGAAGGGAAGACAAAAGTAGGATAATTTATACAAGGTTTGTTTGTTAAAGTTTCCCTTTCCCCTATATTTCTCTTAGGCTGTGTTTGGTTTGAATGAAAAAGTAAGGAAAGGAAATGAAAGGTAGGGAAACCTTTACAAACCTTGTATGAATTTTCCTACCTTTCCCTACCTTTTCGAATAACTTAATAAATTCAGAATTGCAATGTGAACCATTCCTCCATAACGATGTGAACCAACAAACCGGTATCATAAAAATGGTAACCAAAAAGCTATTCTCAGGCAGAACAAACTTTTCCTGCATAACGATGTGGTATGATTAAAATACGCCCATGTCAATTGCCAAACTTCTAACAAATAGGGTTGATTGAGAAATTGGATTTGACATCCTACCTTGATTTAGCCGACGAGTTGGGTCAAATTAGGTTGTGCAAAACTAATATCAAACAAACTAATATCGAACCTGGTCTACACATCCCTATGTACAATTCTAAAATATAGGCTCAGTTTTAAATTTTAATTTTTCAAAGAAAAAACGGTTTTCTTTAGCCACCCAATAGCCCATACATATAATACAGGCCAGGCCAGATAATCTTAGACCTGGTAAGCTTAGCCTTGTGTATAATGGATGTAAGGCTATCTTTTAAAACTAATTTTACATCAAAATAAATGAACATTTCTAAGAAACAGGCAGCATCCAAAATACTGTTTTTGATTGTCGTTCCCAAATCAAATGCAACAACATTGGTTGTCGCTTGTCACCATCCAATCAAAACCGAAACCTCTGGAATAACCAGTGGGGCCAACTTTTGTACACATTCCTCCTGTGTGCTTGTGGTAAAAAGCATCAAATCCAGTTGGAGAACTAAAAGAAACATCCAAGCCAACCAAATCCGAGAACCTCTAACTGTTCCAGTACATATGTGCAGTAACAACTTACAAGTTTGAACTGTAATCTGCTCTACAGAAATGATGACAGAAGCCAGGTTTTCCGTTTTCACAGAAGTAAAATCCTTCTTTTACACATTGTACAAAGAAAAAAGAAAAAAAAAAAGAATAAAGAAACTATCCAGGTGAATGGTATTTCTTTTTTTTTTTTATACCAATGCAGTTCTGGCTGCTGAAGCTGTGTTACCAAAAGTAGTGACTGTAGCTACAGAAGTATAGATGAAAAAATGTATCAGTGACAATAATTTGCTAAAAAGTCTATTTCCCACCTCCTGTGTCTGAAAAGTGAAAACATTATTCAATGTCGAAGTAAAAATAAGCTGGCGAAGAGATGCTTCTGATTAATTGTGTAATCTACTGATGTTGTACAACAAGACCCCCGTTTAGTGCAAGTATGAACATTTGCAGAGTTCCATCCATTGTCATGGAGAGCATGGCTATTCTTCCATTGACTTTCTTTCCTCGTTGGTGTCGATTTTGACATCTCTGGATTAAAAATCAGAAAGCAACTTCAGATGAAAATAACAGACACTTGAGGAACTATTAGGTGACACCTTACAGATGAGATGGTGCTTTCAGCACTATTACAAGATACCTTGCAAATGGCCAATCCAGATCCCATGTATTGTGTGCCACACATGTGGCACAAGAAAGGACCAACATGTTCATCAAATGACAGTTTTCCAAAATGGGTTTTCTGTCATTGAAATCATTTTTCTATTTTATAATTTATTTATCTAATTTTTGCTCTTGTTCTTTAAATGAATGTAATAGCTTGTTGTTATTGTATATTTGACACACAAAAATACCTGACGCCCAAGTTTGACTTTGACTGATCAACAATGACGGATTTATCACGTTGAGGCTTTTCATCCTCTTCAGATTCAGACCCATAGTCTTCACCATTCCAAATGCGACATTTTGACCTTTGATCCATGACATCTTCTCCCTATTTCCATCCAATATGATTAAAGATAGGAACCATGAAAAATGGTGAATAAATACATCCAACTTCCTAAAGATCATTCAAGTTTGTAACAGGCTACTACCTCCTCAGGAACTTGGGTACTTGGAGGTTGTGCCTGAAACTGTACACTGGGAGCATGCTGTATTCTTGAAAGCTGACCCAAAAGTACATTTCTGCAAAAGCACATCTTGGAAATGTGTTAGAATATAAAATGTAAAGAAGCAAACTATTCTGTTTCCTAATCTCCCCTTGCAACCAAAAGAAAAAGGAATTCTGCATCTAAAAGGAATGGAAGGAAAACTACAAGACAATAATATCATCATCATCATCATCATCATCTAAGCCTTGTCCCAACTATATGGGGTCAGGTCAGCTACATGAATCCAGTTATGCCATTCCATTTCTTAACTTCGTTAAGTGCCATATCCATTTTTTATAAGAAAATGATATCATATTAGAAAATGCTTGAAGTACATGTTGCCCAATTGAACAAGCCAATCACATTTCCTAGAGTATTCCCACTCAGAATCGTTCAAGCTAAAAGTTCATGCTCCGCATCAAAATCCCCAGGGAAAACCCCCTACTCTATTGCACAACTGTTTCCTCCATGGGACTTCTCTTCAAACCATATAATGATAAAAAAAAAAAAAAAAAAAGCAGAACCTCAAGCATTGTTCAAGCGTTCATGCACCTCCTATAATATACTCCATTGCACAATCATTTCCTCCATGGGAAATTGTAGAAAAACTAAAAGAGAGAAAGTTTAGCAGAAGAAAATATCATAATCTTTGTTAATATACCAAGCGGGACATCCAACAAGAGGAAGTTCTTTTTTTATCAATAAGAAGAAAATTCTATTAAATAACAACTAATAAAAAGCTTGTTTATCTTCAAAAGGGTTAAGCTTGTCATCAGGACATTATGGGAGATTTTGCCTTTAATCCATTTGCAATTTGCTCCAATCATGGGCCTTGGGACATAGGACCAATAGATGAATCTGCAGCCCCATAACTTGCTAGGCTTCCACTAAGAATGTTAGCTATTCCAAACATCAAATAACCAAATGACTTCTAGCCATCTGATTTGGGCATCAACTGTAGAGATTTTCTTCAAAAGAAGTTTTTTCTCCACAATCCAATTGATTAAATGTATCAAAATGACAAAATCAGGTGGAAATAATCCTCAGTGCCTGAATTTTTGGTCTTGCTGATCCACTAGAGAAGACCAATCAATGGTTGTCCTGGCATTTGTAAGATGGAGCATGTGGTAAGTTAAGGTGGCCCTACTTTATGGAACACAAACTGTTTCTATTGAAATTTTCATATTAATGGGAAGCTTTTATAATTAATGACACGCTAATCTAGTTATCTGTTGTATCTTTTTTTACCAGAAACAATGATAAGAGTTTTATTGCTAAAGATCGAAAAACAGGCCCCCCTCAGAATGTTTGGAGAGTAGAAACCATACAAGCAGCCAAAAGATGAAATGGAGTTCATTAGATCAGATTGTAGATTACACATTGGCCCCTGGACCTGGCAATATAAGTTCTAACCTGTTGATCTCATCTATGGCTAGAGAGTCTGATGCATCACTTGCACATCTAAAGACCCATCTGAGTGAGCAGTTTAGCGTGGATGGTTGCATTTTTTGCCTCTCCAACTGTGAATCTTAAAGACAAAGGACCATCCAAATCTAGTTGTGAACCAGCTTAATGCCACTTGACAGTCACTTTCCTAAACCAAATTGTACCAACCCATACACCATAGCAACCATACATGATACACCTTGGAGTAATGCCATAAACTCAGCCCTTTGAGATGTGCCTTCTCCTCAACACCAGAATAGCTTGGCTATGCATCACCATTGTATGTCAAAAGATCCTCCTACTCCTGAACAACCTTGGTTGTTATGACAACAGCCATCAAAATGTAGCATTTTCTTTCTTTTTTTTTATCAATAAAATGTAGCATTTTCTTCCCTACAACGGGATTGCCACACCTCAACTATCTGCTGTCTTCTTTATGCATAAGTAGCAATGGAATGCCACCCTCTTTTTTTTTTTTTTATTAGTAATGCCACCCTCTTAGCATGGCATCTATAGAAATACCTCTGATGTCCTCTTTTGTTAGAACCAAATGTAACACTAACAGTAGTACTCTCATCCTACTTCTGAAAAGGTCATTGCATTTCTCTTGCAAGTCACACCACATGCTCCAAAGAATAGCATGTCTTTTACATTGCCAAGAATTTTGCTTCTCTTAGTGCTTATAGTTATGAAATAGGAGTAGAGTCCATTATATAAGCTAGTGGAGATGAAGAACCAAATAAAAGGGAAATATTGGCTCCACATCTTTGTGATGAAGGGGCAATTGAGGAAAAAGTTGTTGACATTCTCACCACTTTTCAAGCAAAGGACACACATATGAAGGGAGAGGCACTAAGTTCATGGTCTTCATTGAACCATCTCAGCAATATTGATAAATTGATAACCTTCGATATATCTTCCCAAAGGGCTTTGATTTTTAGTGGAGTAGGGCCATCCCAAAGAGTTCAAACTAACAAAGTTTAGGGGACAGAAGAGTCATATCAGGTGACTTCAGAAAAGAGACAGAGAACGCGTTAAAGGTCCAAATTCTCTGGTTAAGTCCCTCATGGAGAAATAAAATATCTTTGAGGAGATCTAAGAGGTTGACCACTTCCTCACCCTCATTATCTCTGATACCTCTCTTAAACCAAAATCACAATTGATGCCCAAGGAGTCTAAGGTATTGAATGCACAAGGGCCTCTCTCCCCAGTCCCCACTAAACATTTTTCCCAAATCTCACTCTATGGCCTGAAATAGGGTCATACTTAATGTGTCCTAAGAATAGAGGGTAGGTTGCCACGATGGCTTTCCACAGGTATCTCAATGTTATCTTACTAGCCAATCCAAGGCCATGGCAATTTTGATGAAATCCATATTTGCCATGCCAAACAGAATAAGATTCAATACAGAATCTCCAAAGCCATTTTCTAAGAAGAAATTGTGTTTTTGCTCCTCGCCATTACCTTAGACCTCCATCTCTCTTCTTTCTTCACACACTCCATAAACAGTCACTAACAATTTTATTGATTCTTTTTACAACTTCTATTGGCGCTTTGAACACCTACAAGAAGTACTCTCACAAGTTGGGGTATGTTGCTTCCATAGTTACGGTCCTACCTTCTAAGGAAATGTAATTCTTTTTCCGAGCTGCCAATTTTTTTGAGAACCTTTTCACTACTACATTCCAGAAAGAGGACTCTCTAGAATTCTCCTAAGAGGAACTGAAGAGATTTAAGGGGGCTTCCTATAACTCCACACCCTAGAATAGAATATTTGTGTATTCTTCCAATTCTACTGGATCTATACTAATCTCTGTAATGTTGCATTTGAAAAGTCTAATCCTCAACATGCACCCTCTCCACAGTTTCAAAATGGCTTTTAAATTTCTAAAATTCACCTCAAGATATTATCCCAAAATGTTGTTGTTGTCAATGAATTGTAGGTGAAACACAACCCTTTCTTTCATCCCTACTTGAAAACACCTTAAAATGCCTCTTTCATCAGCCTAATTAAGTAATCTGCTAAAAACTTCTACCACAAGGATGAACAACATCAGTGAGAGTGACCTTGCCTAAGACCTCCTCCCAATGTCCATTGTCTGAAACACTCATTTCAAGAAGTTCCAATCTACATGATCAAAAAGTCCTTTTCCCTACCATAATATTATTAACCACTTCATTGCAACCAATAGTTGGTCTAGAGTGACCTCAAACAAAACACCCCAGGGACAGGGATGGAAGATAACAAAGAACCTCTACAATGATTTTATGAAGACTGATCACGAAACTTACCAGCCCAAAATCATTTGGAGAAGAAGCTCTAGGTCATTTCACAATAAGTGAAACAAAAGTGTCATTCATCCCCTTTCTGAATTTCCCTGTCTAATTAAGTTCCTTAAACACCTTCAAGAGATTCTCTTTGATCATCTCCATGCATTCTTGGTAAAAAGCCATCAAAATGTTATTTGTATCCTTAAGCCAAATATTGCTCATTTAATATCCTCTCCCTCAAAAGGTTGTACCAACTGATGTCTCGCCTCCCTTGGTACTACATCCCACACTAACTCCTAAATCAGGAACCACACTGTCAATGGTGCATACTGCATAAAAGCACTGGAAATGGAAGAGTATTATTTCTTCAATTTTTTGGAGTTCCTTACCTCATTCCTATTCAGAAATAGAGAGAGTGTTCAGGAATACTTTAGGTGAAATTTTGGCAATTTATTCCAGCTCAATAGGGGAAGGAGTTGTTGGCAGTTCTACATGGACTGAATTTAGGTGAAAGTCTTAACTATAGAAATGTGGTGGTAGAACTCTTGGGTTGTAGTGGAATGGTTCAGAAACAACAGTATGGGCCCTTGGCAATACAGGCATTGATAAAAGATTTATTATAATAAAATATCTACTTCCATTTATAACATTTTATTATAATATTACAAATAAATAAATTTGGACAATTTTTCTCCCCTATATTATGTTGACATATAATGGGGAAAGTGACAAAATGGTGCACCCACTGGAGGTGTACGCCTTTAGCCGAACTTATTGGAATGTTCATGGGGTGTACGCCTCTAAACTGGATGTGTATGCCTTTATTATGTGCCTCCAGCACCTTTTAAAACATGAACAAGATTACAAGTAGGTATTCATGATAAAAAAATTGATCTAACTTGCACTTAAAAATACAGCTAATACAGCCAAATAATTTTGATCAAAACTGTAAGGGTCTATACTGATGCTTTAGCAACAAAATTGCATCGTTCAATATTAGCACAATGGAAATATTAAAATGCGCATCCTAATGAATAATGATTTTTTTTACTGATTAGCAAATAATGACTTCACGGAAACTAATTTCCATGAATGCATCTGGAAGGCATTGAGATGTTTACAAATTCTGAAAGGAGGCATAACAAGTAATAAAACCCAACTGTGTGACTTCATTCAGTTTCCATAGCACAGATTTCAGGAATAAGCTTAATGTATTGTAGCATAAACAAATAAAGTACTACAGCAGTAGTATTTTTTGAAGCTTACCTCATTCTTTCCAAATCTTTTGGCGAGTTTTGATTCTCCATGTTGCTTGGTTCAATATGGAGAGTATAATCAGGGCCAAAGTACTCATAATATTCATTGTAAGGAAGTTTATTGTCAGGTTCTACCCCCACAGCAACTGCTGTCTGAACATGAAAACAGATGGACTCAAATGGTTTAAATTTTAATTGTAATCAGAAACAAAAGCTTGATATTATGAGAAGCAATAAGAAGCAGAAAATACCTCATAGCACCAGCAACGAGCAACATTACGGATTGTATATCCTCCACCGCCCAAGACCATCAGAGGGACATTAAAGGATCTGAGAAAGCGAAGACAGTCTGCATGGCCCTTCACTGACAAGTTGAAGCAACCTAACCTGTCACCAGATAAAGAATCCGCACCACACTGCAGAACAACTGCATCTGGCTGATAGATTTCCATGACTTTTTGAATGATGGGCTGAAATAGTCCCCTAAAACTCTCATCATCCATTCCATCATTCAGTGGGACATTGAGAGCATAATACTTCCCAGGGCCTGCTCCAATGTCCTTAAGATGCCCAGTCCCAGGAAAGAAGTCCCCAAATTTATGGAAAGACACTGTCATAACCCTGTCAGTGGTGAAAAATGCCTCCTCAACACCATCTCCATGATGAATGTCAATATCTACATACAGTACACGCTGCCCAATGGAACCAGATGGATCAAACAAAAAAAAGGTCATCCATATTTACACATTGATATCTATTAAACAATTAAATAACATATCCTGTAGTTTCCAAGCTGCTATTGGAGAATAAAATCAGGAAGAAAACCGAATGCTTTCACAATTCTATCTATGTACACTATGGAACGCTTGAGAATTGAGAACATCGCTTCGGAATTTAAATTGGGTAATACCCTAAAGGACTAAACAAATGTTGGCTCATTCCAATGAACTAATTATGTATTTTCAGCTACTCTGCCCTTAGTTCCAATTTTCAGTGGACTGCAAATTGTGTCGATTAACAGACAGAAAACTAGAATACAAAGGCAAAGACTAGATCTTTTTCCTGCTTAGAGATACCAACGGCATTCATGATGTTTGTAATCATGTATCTCACGGTCTAAACTTTGCGCTCACAAACATTCAACAATACCAAAATTAAAATTTCAGGTAAAAGAAACAAAAGGGAAGAAAAATAGATCCAGAAAATCATACAAGGACAATAACGCACAAAGCCTCCTCCAGAAAAATACTAAAATAGGTTACAGTAGAAAAAAGATACCAGAAAATCAAGTAGTAAATACTCAAAATAGTCAACAAGGAAATATCTAAAAAAGACATCAAAAAGAACCTAAGCTACATATAATATCAAAAAATCCACGGGAAAAGAAAAGGCAAAAGGATCAATAGAAACCGAGAGGACACAGAAAAGAAAGAAAGAAAGAAAGATGGGGAAACCAGGAGAATGATAAAGTCGAGTGGGTATTGAAACAAATGGCTTCTTACCCTGTTCACCTTGAGAAGCTCAAGAATCCCCAGAACGATATCATTGACATAACAGAAGCCAGAGGCCTCACTCTTCTTCGCGTGATGCAATCCACCCGCCCAATTCAAGGCAATATCTGCATCCCCGCGGTTCAACTTAACAGCGGCACCAATTGATCCTCCGGCGGACGCCTGACAGAAGGCAAACAAGCCGTCGAAAACGGGGCAGTCCTCGCCGACGTTGAAGCGCTTGAGGTGGCGGGCGTGTGTGTGGTCGTGGAGAGTCTCGGGTGTTACGGATGCGAGGAAGTCGACGTAATCGTCGGAGTGGAAGCGGCGGATGTCATCAGGACCGGCAAGATAAGGGCGGTTGACCTCCATACGACGGTGAAGAGAGTAGTGGACTATGAGGTTGTGAGCCATACGGATCCGATGGGGCTTCATTGGGTGGCCCTGTCCGTAGTAGTAGTCTCCGATTGAAGGCTCGTAGAAGTAGCACACCCTCCGCTTCTTCGCGTCTGGCCCTCCTGGGAGAGAAGCGCTCCCCGACGCATTCTCCATCGTCTCTCTCTCTCTCTCTCTCTCTCTCTCTCAGAAGACAAAAGCCTCACAACTCGCGACTCGCAAAGTATGGAACAACGACGGAGCGGGAGTCTGGAGGGGGTCGTATTTATAAGTGCACGTAACTCGTTAAGCGATTGCCTTCCAGGCATACAGCGCGCTTATTCGCTAACTCGGAACTCAGCTGAAGATCCAACTAGGCTGAATTCGGATGAGCTATTCATAAAGGCTGAAGCGGAGTAGCGGAGAACCAGATGCTCGTCAAAAAAAACGAAAAAAAAAAAGGTAAATTATATATAGCTACCATGTGTACTTTGGGGGTAGTGACAGATTGGTACCTGAATTTTCAATTACAACACTTAGTACCTGAATTTTCAAAAATGGATATTAGGGCTCATCCCATACTATTTCACCACTTAAACGTTATATAATATCAAAAATACTTTATCATTCTCAGATAATTGAATGTCTCTCTAGGACGATGTTCTCATGTGGACACCAGATAATAGATTTAAATTTCCTAACGATGGCATTTTATAGTGATGATTTTATTTAAAAAATACATAAAAAAAATATTTTTAACATTATGTAATGTTTAACTGATGGACTCACTGGGAGTTTTATACAACCTAGGGTTTTAAAAGATTTTATGAAGTTTTATACAATCATCTTTTATTGGGCTTTAAATCCAATTTAAAAGTAAAATGAATTAAAAATATTCATAAAATTTTATCAATAAATTTATAGATACATACATACATATATATATATAAAGTAGATACTTGTATTGGTTATGGTGCTAGTTATAAAAGTTAAATTTGGTTATGGTGTATACATATATACACCCCCTGTTTAAGTCTTTATAAGGTAAAAGCCAACTCCTAGTAATAAGTTTAAGAACTTCTTGCAATTATCTTATGTGGGATTCAAGCAAAATACTAAGATATAAAAGTATTTTAATGAATGCAGGGAAAGTTGAATTTTAGCTTAAACTCAAAGGCCCCATTTTGTTCATATAGGAACAAGGGTGTAGAATCAAAACCAGAATAATTTAGAATCGGAATCAGAATGGACTATTCTGATTTCAATTATTTGATTGGGTGGAATCGAAATCCCATTTTCATTCTTGGTGGAATGGCATTACCCCAAACGGACTCAAAGTAGAATTCTTATAGGCATAAATTACACAAGTATGAGTGTGTGCAAAAAAGTGAAAAAGCCAAAAAGAATGAAGAACAAAATTACCCTTACTAAAATTTTTGAATCACACGTACACATATGTATATTAACAAAATTACCACATCTGTGTGTAGAAAACAAATACATGTATGTATTTCTTACCATAAGCTTGGGTTACCCGAGACCTCAACCTAAGCCCAATTTTAGTTTAGGTCAAGGCCAAGTTTTCTAACCTGGACATAACTTGAAGCCCAAAAACTTAAGACCTATTCATGCAAAAACTTGGATCAAATTGAATTGAGTTCAGATTGAACCCGCCAAAGTTACACTTTTAGTCAGGGCCCTTTGAGAAATTATCTCATCTAAGCAACTGACATTCCAACAAAAAGAACATGGATAAATGTTTTTATTCCCCTGGTAAATAATATTGACATGTATCAGCTCGTATTGTGCCGGTGGCTTCCTGATACGCCCCTACAGGGGTTGTATCGGGTCAGCTACTGGTTCAAAAGATAGCCGGGCTTTAAACCAACCCCTCTGAACCAATTTCAAAAAAAAAAAAAGTGATACATTAAAAAAAAAAAAAAAGCACCACCACAAGGGCGTATCTGCCCGTGTTAATATTTAGAACCTTGAGTTGAACCCATTAGGCAAAAGATCGTAGGAATACTGTAACAGGAAGTGGTGAGAGGAACCCAATAGATGAATTTGAAGTAGGGAATTCTCAGTCAGAGTGGAAGATAAAATGTGAAAGAGAGTACAGCAACTGAGCCATCAGGTGCATGGCCATTCACTTTCTGCATTTTTTTAGGGTATTTGGTGATAGAACCACCAATAACCCTACTCTCCAAAGTCGGCAGTTGCATGAATTAAATCCGCATCAATACTGGAATGGCCATCGCCATTCACTTTCAATGAATCAATCTTCTTAGATCTACCTGCCACTGAACCTGGAGAACACATTCTTAGTAGCAGTGTAGAACGCGATGCATGACAACCACTGCCCATTTGGAAGGGGTTTGTGCACTAGCTTTGCAAGGTGGGCTTCTAATGAACAACTTAGAAGTTATATTTGGTGAAAACCCTTGGAAAGCCTAATATGCTTTCTTTTAACAACAAAAAAAATGGCTTTTGGGTGACCATTTTGGGAGATTTCACGGCTTGTGGCTTTGGTGGGCCCAACATGAAAATTATAGAAGAAATATTTGGTAAAAAAACCAAACCAAAAAGCTCAAATATGCTTTTATTCAACTAAGAAATTAATAGACTTTCGATAAAACTAGTTTTAGTAGTTTTTTCAAAGTACTGGTTCTGTCGGTGCAATTCAATAAACTCTGAAACCCTTTCGAGCAAGCTTTTATTAGCTTCTTTAAAACAATTAAGGCGGTGCTTAGATGTTGTTTTCTGAGAAAACAGTGCCACATAGGTGTTATATCAGAAAAAGCGGTGTTTTAGAAAATGACCTTTTGTTTGATATCATTTTTCTGGAAAAAATGTTACTCTAGATTATGTCTTGGAAATTGGGAAAGTATAATCTAAAGGAACATCAAATTCAATGTTTTCTTAAAAAACAACTCGTTACTGCGAGTGGTGCAATGATGTCGCATCATCTTGGATGTAGACCAATGCCGAAAATGGTTCTATAGTACTGATAACAAATAAAATTAGTACTGTTTTCCCTAAAAACAGCCTATATAATAGCACCATTTCCAAACAAAAAAAAAAATAAGCATCATTTTCTGATGCTTACAATTCAGACATACAGAACACCGATGTCAAACACCTACTAAGTAAAAAGCAGCTATTGATGTCGTTGAAGCTATAATGGCGTTGAAGAAGACAGTTTCAGATAGCATTAGAGATGGATTTTAGGAAACTTGGATAAAGAAAGACCAAGGCTGCAAACAATTGAATCAAATAAAAGTGGAGTATATTTATATCTGACGGATGTGTAAAATATGGATCTGAATTCGATTTGTTTATATGGGTATCCAGTTTGATTCGAAGCTCAAAATCTATAAAACCAACATAAATTTATAAAATTAAATATTAAATGAGAAAATATATATTACAAATAGAAAAAATAAGTCTCTAAATCACTAATCCAACTTAGTTTTAAAAAAACTGAAATTTAAATTAGAAAGGGTCTTCTATACATGTATTTATGTGTCACTCTTTTTTTAAGAAAGGAAATTTATTAATAATCACAAGGATTGGGGATATGACCTATCCCTTCAAAAGAGCAAAAGGCTTAAAAAAATAGTTGTCATCATCTTCCATAAAATGAGAGGGAGAAAGTTGGTTAATGGAAAAGTGATATCTATTGATTAAGGCCCTATTTGGTGTGTCTTTTTGTGCTGGCTGTCGGCATTTTAGAAGCTCAACAGCCCATATTTTGATTTTTTTATGTTTGGTTGAAAAAAGATTTAGTCATCGAAAGCTGTAGCCCCAAAAAGATACAAGAAGCTCATTTCAGGTTATGAATGAAGCTTCAAATTGAACTTTTCGTCTTTTTTTTTTCAATTCATCTTTGCACAAAAAGACGCACTGACAGACACGCCTTAACCAAACGGTCTTTAAGCTGTTAAGATCTTGATGCAAAAGCTCACATCATCTTTTCACCGTCAGAGTTTCCAGATCTTCCAAAAAAGAGTTGCCAAACAGTCCCTAACTTTATTGTGTTTTTTTTTCTAATTATAAGTACTAGGCCCCATGATAAAGTTAGTTTCATTTATCTAGGTAAAACTTATCCACCTTTTAAGTAGGGGTGTGAAGTGTCAATCCGACCAGATTTGGTCCAATTTGACCTGGTCAATTATAAACCCAATACAAATGGATCTGATCCAATATGATCAAGTGAATATTTTGTTCCATTTTGGAGTAGTCCAATTCAATGTATGAACCATCATATCTATTCAAATTGGTTTTATTGTAGATTGATTCAAATCCAAACTTGGCCCATTGACACTTGCATTCTTATCTTCTATCAATGGACCAGATATTGGTTCAATCTAATATAAATCTATTACGGATGGACCAAGTCTAGTCCAATCCAATAAATACTTTAGACTGGATCCAAATCAAAATCAATTTGGACGGGTCTAACCCAAAATCACTCCATTGACACCCCCACTTTTAGGTGGGTAAATAAGTTGGGATAAATTTGCTCATTTTTAACATTTTACTTTTTATAAGTAAAAAAATCATTATATCACTTACTTATAAATAAAAAACATGCATAAATGAACTTACCCAATTAAATATTATTCAGAAAAACATTTAATGAGTAAATGAACTTAGGTAAATGACCTTTAAAAAAAAAAACGAACAAAGTTGTGTGTTTGATCTGAAAGACCTTAGACACCTGTTTGTATTGCAGTAAATAAAGTTGTGTGTTCCGCATTAGACTTGCCTGTATTTTTCTTGTTCTCCACTGTAATCCTTTTTTTTTTGGTGTGTGTACAATTATTTTTATCCACACATAAATGTATTATGATAATAAATGGATCCTATTATTTTTACCCACAGACAAATGTACACTTATTAATAAATGGATCACATTATCAAAGCCGATCCAATTCAATTGGATTAATTGAATTAATTTACAGAAGACTCCAAAATTGGATTAATTTACAGAAATCAGCAAATATAAATTGGATTAATTTACAGAAGACTCCAAAATTAACGGTGGTAAATTGTGTTGATTTTTTTTCTTTTTTTTTTTCGGGTACTTGAACTGTGTTATCGAATTACGCGTGTAGAAGTTTTTTTCTTCTCTCTCTTCATCTCTTGGTGACAGTTTATGGTATGCATGTCTTTTACAAATCTCGAATTGTTTGGTTGGAGATGCATGGGCCATGCGATAGGTCTACCTCGAGGTGGGCGTATATCTTTTTATCAGGGGTAATGGGTTGGGCCGGGTTTAGCATCAAGAGAAAAGTAACATTCATTACTGTAATTTAAATGATCAATTGTTATTTATGTAATTTTATTATGAATAATTAACAACTGTTAATCTCTCTGTAGAGAGAGAGTTCAGATCTGCGCCCCAAGACGGGGCGCCCCACAACGTCTCACAGCACATCCCTGTGGTGTATTG